TAAAAATTTCGGAAATGCTACTGTGCGAATTTGTCCTACCATTTTTAAATTTGTGCCACCGTGCAAATTTGTACTATATATATATATATATATATATATATATATATATATATATATATATATATATACTTTTTTAAATAATCCTTTTATTAATTACCACTGTTTAAATCTATCTTGGATATTTATCTCGCGGCAAAATAAATGCGACTTCATGCTCTCTATAGTTACTTAAAACCGTCGATGTTTATTTTTTGTGTCACACATCGCACACATCAACACGTTGCAACGTGACTTACGTCTGCGACTTCATGCTTATTGCAAGAAATTTTGTCCATTATAAAAAAATAATATTATGTAATTAAAAACGAGAATGAAATTAATTAAATAATTAAAAACTCCGTACAATTATTTTATAATGGCCTGTGGTTATTATTTTGACACAAACAATGTTTTATTTGGTCAGTAAACTTAATTAAAATTTTAGATATTCATAATTGTTTTTATTGGGGCTTCCATAAATTTATACCACTTCATTTTAATTTAATTGAATTGACTTTAATTGACCAAGTGTTTATTAGATTTAATTACCAAAATTGTTTATCAAAGGAGATAAATGATTTATTAATTCTTAATTAGATAGATTGTTCAACTACTTAAAGGCAATTATAAGAATACTATTTATATAATAAATTTATAAAACCTTCTTGTGGGACAACTAATTATTTTTTAAAATTTTATAAGAACAAATCAGTCCTGATGACATTAATCATGAATTCAGTTTGTCAGAAAATATCTTAAACACGTGGTTCCATATTTAGAGCATAAAAACTGAACATGGTAAACACCAAAACAACTGGGTGCTATATAAAAATAAACAATATTAATCTTTTCCATTAGTGGGGTTATTGCCTTATGCAGCCAACTATGATTTATTAAGCCATTTACCTACAGCTTGATAACGTTTATTAATTGTACAATGTGAGTATGTGTAATTGAGACCACAACTATTATTAAGAGTAAGTGCCCTTTTTAAACCATAAACACTATTTTTGTCTTGTTGGATGGAGCAACTAATTTATTAGAAGAATGGGTAGTTTGTTTTACAGGAACTAATAAATGTACAATTACATTAATATTTAAGTAAAAAATTTAGAAAAGTATATCAGCTATTTTTACAAATGACTTGAAACTAAAATATAATGAATAATTAAAATATAACAATAAAACTCGTTAAAAAGCTTTGTAGCCAACTAAACAAAACGTACATAAAATCACAAACAAAGACAAAAATGGTCATATGATGTTGACAAACTGCTAAATTTAATTAGGCCATTAAATTAACAACGAGGTAGTTGAGACCACTGCATTATTTAAATCTCACTCTCCTGTTATTTATGTACTACTGCCCATGTTTTCATGGTTAACCGACCATGAGAAGTAAAGTTACAATTGGATTTTAATTTTGTTTAATGCCTTAACTATGCCTTAAAAGAATACAACACCAATACACGAGATATACAACAATTTGAACTTTTTTTAATAATAGAATATTGCGCAAATTTTAAGCTATATATATTACTCTCACTTACAAATAGGTTTTATAACAACTATATAAGTAAAATTATAAACTAATTAATAATTGTGAAGTTGTAATTTTTATTTATTATTTTATGTACCTAATGTTTAAAATAAATAACTTCTATTTTGCGTTCATAATGACTTCATTATAACACCGCTTTCGGTGCTGTAATGAGATACTTTATCCCACCCAAAATTTTGAATTTATAGGCTGGCTATACTTTAAACAGCATAATATTTTGCATATTTTTCTAGTACCTACTTACGAGACTTTTCTGGCAATAAATTTTGTTTAATACCAAAGAAAATCCTTTTTTTCTTCTTTAACATTAACAGCCGCTTATTGTAAATAAATAAATTAAGGACGGCATGGCGAATCGAATTTGACATTAACTGTCAAACCAATGACTGTGATAACAACCATCTAAAGTAAAATTCGACCAAATTAAATTTAAGATATATTTTTTTTTTTTTAAGAATTTTTGCAAAATATATAAAATAGCAGAACTCATGTCATAAGACCTTTTGTGGCACTCGTCCATTACAAATATTGTCCGACACGACAAAATGACGTCTTATGACATTAGTTCTTTAATAGATATACGCAAGCTCGCTCGTGCCTAAATTAAATTTGTGTCAATTATATTAACTAAATTTTTTTTTTCAAAAGTACTCGTACTCTTTACTCGTGTTTAGACGATTACTACTCGAAACCGTAACCTCTCTTTACAAATGTACTTACGAGTAAATATTTTACTCGTAATTAAAATTTTACGAATACTTTTTTTAGTACTCGTGCCCAGCTCTGGCTGTGTTAAATTGATTTTCAACGTTGACGTTCGACATAGATGAAGAAAATGAGATTTTCGTTAGATTTGCATCTGACATTTTCGACCATATATTATGAATTAATGGATTTAGCTTTAAATTTGCGCAATATTCCATTCATCAAGATAAAGTTAGAATTGTTTATATATCGTGTATTTGTGTTGATAATTCAGGAATAATAACAAAATCTAGGGATTTTTTAAATTAAAAAAAAAACTGGCTATTACGCAAAAAAATCTTAGACTGACCTGAACACACAAGAAATATCCCAGCTATGTTGCAAAATACTTGTAAGACAGTGTTATATAAAGGTTTAAATTTCCTTGCATTCATAATTAACAAATATTTACATTTCAAATCAAGCTCAAACAAACTTGCTTCAGTTTTATTTAAATGTGTCGTGTTTAATTACCTCCACTCATTTAAAACGCTTCAAGTTGTGTGTTCAAGCCAAGAGCCATTCATTACTTTGTCAAATAAAATCTCCATTGCAGTTTGCATTTAAATTAGGATTAAGTTTTGTAAGTGAACTGTGAATTGTTGCTTTATTTATTAATGCGTGTTTAAACTAAAAATTTAAAGTTTATCGTTTACGTTACGAATTTGTGTAAAAATAATATGTAACAATCAGGCGCGTATCCAGGTTTCGTTTAGGAAGGGAGCAATTTGTAATTTCACCTATCTTCCAGAAAGTTCGTTCTAAACAAAAAAATTGATAATATTTTAGTTTGTTATCCATGTAATACTTGCATTTGAATTATGCTCTGTTCGTCTGTCTTAAAAAATATATAAAATAAAAAAAAAATTTTTAATTGGAAAAAATAGTGCTTTTGTCATGGGAGCAATTGCATTTAAATTGGCAAACATTTTTTAACGATTTATTATGTTTACACAGTAAAAAAATATTTGTTAATTTTACCGAATATTAACCAGATTTTATGTTAATCCAGGTCCACATAACTTACTTTATGTTAAATTTACAACCAAATGTATTCTGTCAACTAATTGAATAAGTAGTTTGTAATTATAACAAACATTTTGTAGATTTAATGACAAAATCCTTTGTCAATAATTTAACCATAATTCTTGTAATTTTCATAAAGGATCTTATTTTTACAAACCTTTTTGTAGGACCAGTCACAAAAGTATTTGTTGGAAATTGGGAAGATAAATGAAAATAATTTTGATAAGAAAAGTTGCTTTATTAATCAATTACCTAAACAAAAAAAAGAACACATACATATATGAATATCTATATATCTATAGATAAATGAACACAAAAATATCAAACACACAATTAAATAACATATAAAGAAATTTGGTACTAATACAACACTGCAGTGTAGGGTATACATGTATACCCTAATTTCAATTTGAAAACCAGTGATGGCATCTTTTTTCAAATACTTCGCACTCTCGTTAAATAGGTATAAGGAATCCGAATAACACACATAAAAAATCTAACATAGTACCGAACAGCGCTGTCATTGAATGCATTAAAATTGAAGCAATCTAAATTGTTATTTGCTCAATTAGTTACTATTAAACCAAAATAGGGAAACATTTTGCATAAATGTTAAAGAATTTATTGTGTTAAATGTAGTAACGTTATTAAATAAATCAAATTAGTATTTAATTCAATAACATTCTAACATACAATGAAAATAAATATCAATATAAATATCAATAGATTTAGGAGCGATAACTTTTGTTGTTAATTTAAAAACAGTAAACTATTATAAACCAAGTGCTACCTATTGGTTTTATAGGAACTGTTATTCAGGAATACGGATTACAAGATCCCATTGGTTTAATGGCTCACCCATTCATGCTATGCTAGCGTTTTTTCTGTGCAATCATAACAGATTTCTGGTAATAAATTATAAACACTCCGGATAGTTGTTACAAACAAGTTACGAATTAGAATAAAGTAAGCAGAAACATAAGTTGCAGACGCTGAAGTTAGTTGAACTTGTTGATGCGTATTGTCAGTGGGAAATGTTTTAATAGGCTGCCTAAAATCACGTGTACTTTTTCAACGAAATAATTTGTTAAACATTAACAAAAAAATCTGGAACCTTTGAAATTAACAAAATTCTTAAAAAATTGTACATTACCTTTACAAAACTTTCGGTAAAATATTTTCCTTTGTTAAAAAAAATTACAAACCATGGTTTTCTACAAAAAATTATGGTAAAATTTTACAAAATAAAATAAACAAACTACTAATCATGTTAACTAATCTTATTTTTATAAGAGTGTTCTGATAACGCAATTATAAAAGCACCTTATTGAATTATTTGTTTTATAATATATGGTCCATATATTATAGGGTCGCATAAATTTATAAATATGAAAAAGTTTATTTTCTAAACTACACTGATCGCCAAAATTGTATACAAATGTATCAAATCTTAAGTATTGTAATAATTATACTATACATTTCTTGTTTATTAATTTTGTTCCTATGTTTATATTTTAATTATGATTTTTTCTAAAATATCAACACAAATTGAATTATGCCCATTTTTGTAAATATAAAAAATAATATCTTGAATACCTCAACGCAAACTAATAATATTTTTTTATTTCAGAACCAGGCTTGGAGAGAGGATGGTCAGCATGAATTCAACCCTGGTGGAGACAGTCAGTATAAATTATGAAGATTTTAATGAGAGCTTTCTGACTTGCGGAACATGTCTATGTATGTATAAACAAATTATTACCAATTAAAATAGTTTATTTAGAATTTATAACGAAGAAATTTGCGTTGAAATGTTAAAAATGCATGTATGTAATGTTATAGGCATTTCTATTGGTTCTGGGGTATTAAATTTAAGATAAAATTAATCAATTAATTAAAAGTTATTATTAAACAACGTTTCTGTTGTTACAGATAGCGTTTGGAGCGGTGGGTGTATATGTAATCGAATAATGCATGCTAAGTAATTTAGTTGTATTAGATTACAAATTAGTTTTTATTTTTTTGCAATTATTTTTTATGACCATATCACAAAGTAAGTATAATTTTGCTTGGAACGCTCGGCTATTAGTTTTATTAATGTAAAATATGAAACTGTTTTACTATTTGACAAGAAATCTATCAATAATAAATATGCAGAAAGGGAAAGTATCTTTACGCCTGGGACAAATTCGGAACCATCTACTTTTGAGTTTAGAGTTTCCTATCACGATATTCAGCTCTGAAAAGTTGAAAAACAAGAGGATCGGTAAAAAAACGTACACTGCTTTTAAGAAGAATCATTGGTTTCTTTCAGAGCACTTAGATTTGGAATTTTGGACGACATAGTGTATACAAAATCTAAAGAAATGATTGTCGCATTGAAGGAAAATTATCTTACTATCAACATTTTTGTACTGAAAGAATCAGCTTCTTTTTTGATGTCCTTGTTATTGAAGGAAAATGCTAAAGTGTCCTTAAAGTACTGGTACTAGGATTGGCCATCTGATCCGGTTTTGTTTGAATTTCGTAAAAGAAATATGAGAGTACTAAGTTTTATTTAAAAATACAAGTACTTACTGACCACACAACACAAGATACATGTTTTTATCTGTAAAGGCCAGGAAACGGGGAGTTTTTGCCATTTTCACAACATTTTTTCAAATGGATATAGCCGGTTTTGCACGGATGCTCCTCAATTATGGACGATATCTACTATATAACTACCTCCTAGGACGATTCTCTACAATGAAAAAATAATGTCCATACATTTTCAGCTCTATTCTTTGACATAAACCTGTGCCGGGTATTTTTTGTTTCATTATTGTTAAGTAAGTTTCTATTGCGTTTTTTATTTGTTAAAATTAAGCAAATATTGATACCATGTTACTACTAGTTTAATTTTATTTTAATGGATAACTTGATAGAATAAATTTTTGTAGTAATTATTGTGCACTTTAAATACAAAATCGTTTTTTTTTAATTTTCAATAAAATTTAGTATGGGGTCGTTTTGAGGGGTGGTGAATCCAGTTCCGTGCATAGATTTTTTTTAAACTCGCCAATATGAATTCTTAAAAATTTACTCTTAAAAACTGACATAGTAGGCCTTGGATTTTGTATATATGTATAGAGTTTTTTGCTCCAAAAATACAGTTTATCATACACTTTAAAACAAATCCGGTTAACATCGCACAATAAATAAAGATTTTACAGGGGCGAGTAGCAAATAAATGGGTCACATTGTATATTCTTACAATTTCTTTTTAATTAAAAATATGAGATATATGGGTTTTAAATGTATTAATAATGCATTAAATGCCGTGCAATCTACTCTATATGTGTAGAAAAATTACTGCTAAGTCTATTTTTTTAAAGTTGACCGGGGGGAGCTAAAATTTTGCACACTTTAATTTTTTATGGTAGAAAATCGTTTTAGAGGGTAGCACAAATAAAATTTAGACTTTTAAAATAAGGACCACCCTAATATCTACGTTATCAAATTAAAAAAAAATTGTGTGCTATAGCCTACCATAGTATGGAGTTTACTTATTACTTATTTAGATGAAATAGAATAAAAAAAACGTGGAGACAAAATATTCAAAACTTTGGACCATCATGTTGATAATTTTTAAATAATGGCGAATGCGCCGGGATAACTTTTGTACACTTTATGGTATACAATCAAAAATTAAATGGAGTTGGGTTCCTAAATGTAAAAATTAAGTCAAAACACAGATAATTTTAAAAATTATAAAAAAATAACAATTACAAAAGTCCACAAAATGCGGGGTTAATAAGAGGCTTTGTTTTGTAATGAATATATTCCCAAATAGCATTTTAGTGGATGAAACGTAGAGATTTTTTTGTGTGGGAGCTTTATTTTTAAAGTTATGTATCTGAAAACTGGTGAGGCATTATTTTATTAATGTAGAATTCAGATATTTAAGTTAGATCGAATCCAATCTAAAATTTTCATTCAATTTTGTGGCATAGGATATTTTATAAAAACATCTTTAGGAAAATGAAAAATTAGTCTTGTCGCTTAAGTTACATTTACGTTACTTTGTGGGATATAGATTTTGTCAAAACATCGTTAGCGACATTTATTTTTTACTTTTATTATTAAATAAAAAAAAATTACAAAAAAATTAATTTATAAAATATCACCAACGATATTTTGCCAATGTTAGAAAATGAAAATCTTCATTAGCTTTCTTTGAAAAAAAGAACGATTTTTATTCACAAATCAGTATCTAACCCATGCATGGTACCATGATCTAACCGTTATAAATTTGAGTCAAATTATTTGACGCTAAAACAACATACAATTACTACAAAAAACGGTGGGGTGGGGGTAAATACCAAATTGAATACACCCATTGGATACCGGATACATACCAAATTTCAATATACCGGGTACTTGCCCATCAGTGATCGTGGTAGATTTAGTTATTTTAATGTTATTTCCACTTATTTGAAGTGCGTCACTATAATGCTACTTGTAATATTTTTAATTAATTTTGATAAAACAAATTTCGTTTTTAAATTTGAAATAACTCGAAATAAGACTCCGCCGCATTTAAAAGTGTGCTCGTGCTCGTGCTATTTTTTGATCGCCGCGCAGTGATTTTTGTGTTACCTGTCTCTTCAAATTTCTTTACCCAACTATTAATTTCACTGATGGAGCACGGCGATCAAAGAATTGTAGATTTCACAACCCTATTAAAAATGCCCTATAGAACCCATATTGATCCAGATAAGGAAACTAATATGGATTTATATGGTTCTATATGTCCTATATGGAACGACTGGTTTACACTTTGGAATCTATATGGTTTAATATGGAATTTCATTTTAAAATGTACAACTTTTTATTTTATATGAATTTATCTGGTTTCTGTTTTATGTGTCTTTCCATATAGGTTTCCCTATATGGTTGAATATGGAATTCCATTTTAAAATGTATATATATTTGAACGAAAATTGCATATTAAACCATATAGATTCCCCTATATGGTTAAATATGGATCTATATGGTAATACTTTTTTCATACCCAAACCATATTGGATCAGATAGAGCTCCAATATGGTTCAATCTGAACCTATATGGCAATCCATAAGGAAATCACTTTTCTATATGGTTTTTCATGTATGGAATTCTATCTGGTTCAATAGTGCAATGCCTGTTTTAAATTCCTATATTGAACCAGATAGAACCATATAGATTTTTATTTTGTGTTTCTATATGGCATTTTTAATAGAGAAAGGATGACCTTCATTTCGAGCACTCTCTTTTAAATGGGGCGCAGTTTAATTTTGAGTAACATCAAGTTAAAAAACGGAACACTTTTTTGTAATTGTTGCAGGCATGTACGACGGGCAGGAGCACACTCCGAAGCTGCTGCAATGCTCGCACACCGTCTGCCTGCACTGCCTGACGCGGATCGCCGCCTCGCAGACCCGCGACACCGGCTCGTTCCGCTGTCCCATATGCAGGGAATTGATCACCATCCCCCGCGGCGGCGTCTCGGCGCTGCCGCCCTCCTTCCTGGTCAACCAGCTGCTGGACCTGATGTCCCGCCAGAGGCGCGAGGTCATACCCAAGTGCTCGGTGCACATCAACCAGGAGCTGCTCTTCTGCGAGACGTGCGACACGGTTTTTTGCACGCTGTGCACCGGAGGCTCGCACAACGATTCGGCGAACAGCTGCGAGCACACGATCATACCGTTTTCCATTGCGATCAAACGGATGAGCGAGATTTTGCTCTATAAGGCCAACGAGTGTATTTCAAAGGTAAGTAACGTTTAAAATGTGTAGCTATATAGGCGCCGTTTTATTGATATTTTCGTAAGTAATATCATAAGTGCATCTAATTTTTCCGAAAAAAATCGAAAAAACATGTTGCTGAGTAATATTTTAACAAGAAGCATGAGTGCTGTTTGCAACAAAAATCCGAGTCTAAGACGAGGATTTTTGCACCTGCACGAATGCATTTTGTTAAAAAATATAACTTAGCGTTGTGTTTTTTTTTGATATTTTTCACAGGAAGAATTAGATGCCTGAATGGTATTTGACAAGACTATTTCATGAGTAACAGTTATTATGCATACACATAGCTTACAAAACATACTACCTATTATACATGCATACAAAATAAATATGTAGGTATTAATTTGAAAAGTGAAAATTAGATAATTTATTTAATCACAAAATACTATAAACCTAATTATTTATGGTACGATTAAAATATAAATTGCAATTTTGGTGACAACAGCTGTCAAGTTTTGCCGCGGGTAAACTCGAAAAAACTGCTGACGGTGCTGTCATACAGATTTTCCACCTACAAACCATTTGTAATTCAAAATTGCGCGTTTGTGATTGGTGGAAATTAAGACGAGGGAAATAGTCAATTATATAAAATATATCACATAAGAATTTTTATTCTGCGAATTAATAATATAGCAGATATTTGTATTTTTTTGTATTTTTAATTTGCTTGTTTAAAAATTAGATTTAATTTTTATGCCAAACTTATTTTTTATTTAGTTACCTATTTAAAAAAAAATCTTATATTTGTATTTATTTGCTAAACACATATTTTTAATTCGCTAAATTTAAAATTTCATAGGAGAAATTTTTAAATGTATTAAAAATATTATAGATGATATTTTTTAATCGTAAGTAATATCATAAGGGCATTTAATTTTTCCGAAAAGAATCGAAAAAAACACGTTGCTAAGTGATATTTTAACAAAAAGCATGAGTGCTGGTGGCAACAAAAATCCGAGTCGAAGAGGAGGATTTTTGCACCTGCACGAATGTTTTTTATTAAAAAATATTACTTAGCATTGTGTTTTTTCGATTTTTTTCACAGGAAAAATTAGATTCCCGAATGGTATTTGACAAGACTATTTCATGAGTAACATTTAACAATTAAAAATATAAATTGCAATTTTTGGTGACAACAGCTGTCAAGTTTTGCCGCGGGTAAACTGGAAAAAACTGCTGACAGGTGCTGTCACACAGTTTTTTCACCTAGAAACCATTTGTAATTCAAAATTGCGCGTTTGTGATTTGTGGAAATTAAGACGAGGGAAATAGTCGATTTAATTTTTATTATATTAAATAAGCATATATTTTTAATCGAATGTGATATTTTTAATTCCGACTGATTGAGAGTTTGGATACCCCTGTTATTCCAAACGCCACAAAAACCGACCCACTCCAACAACAAACTAATGTGCACTGTCCTTGTTCAGCACACGCTGGGGCAGTGCGACATTGGACTCACGTACGTCGTATATCCCAGTGATTGTGCCGCCATCTAGCGATAGAATTAGTTTGAAATACCAGGGGTGTCCAAACTTTCAATTTAAATTAAAAATATCACATTTAATTAAAAATATCTGCTTATTTAAAAAAATTTAAATTAAAATAAATTAAAAATATCTCCTATGATATTTTTAATTTAGCGAATGAAAAATACAAATATAAGAAATTCACTAAATTGTCAGTTTGCCACAAAAATTAAATTAAATCCAAAAATATCTACCATGATATTTTTAATTTGCAGAATAAAACTTCTCATATGATATTTTTAATCTAATTGGTGTTAACACATAAGAATAATTTCTGGATAAAAAATAAAAAGGTGTTTCCTGAATACATTTTAAAAACAATTAAATGTCATTTTAAAACAGTTTAAAAATACATTTTAGCGATACTTTAGAAATTTTAAAAAGTTAATTTTTGAATTTTGGTCCCACCGTTTAAAGCTTATGTTTGGTCCACCCCATAGAGAAAGTCTATGTTCCACACCCAAAAATCCCACCACGCGACTGATAAAAATAATTAAGGATAATTTTCTATTAATGTCAAGCTAAATATCGTCTTGTTTTCTAAAAATAATACAATATATTTATTTATTGTGTTCTAAATTAAGACCTTTACAGTGTAAAGTTTACACACACAAAAATACATATATTGCATTAATTTCAGATAATGTCACTGAAAGAATATTAACATTAATTATTTGTAGTCAGTCACGTGGTGGGACTTTTTGGAGTGGACATATATGAATAGTACGTCAACGGGGAGAGAAAAAATAATATTTACATTTCTCAGAAAATTTCATTCTTGATATTTGAATTGAATTTGCTTGATTTCAAACCCCCACAATATGCCTAGAATATGCCATCATTTTTATTGTCTGGTTAATTTGCAAATTTGATTTTTCTGAATTTTTTGGATAGAAAATGTTTTGATAAAAATCATTTTTGGTCAGTTTTTATTCATTTGTCTTTTTCTTGAATGTTATTACCACGGTAGGTAGAAATCTCTCATTAATTTTTACTCATGAAAAAGTATAAAAAATGCATACTACCGTGCTAAGCTAAACCCCCGTATCTGCAATATTAAATAATAAAGGACAAAAGATAGTTTTTATTGTTTTAACAATGAAAAGGATCTTTTGTCCTGTAATACTTAATTTTGTACATACGGGGGTTTGGCTTAACAGGGCAGCATATAACGTCGATGAAAAATGTATTTTTTGACGTTAAATTAAGGTTGAAATGACAAATGAACGAAAACTGATGATTTTTATTAAAACAATTTTATTCCAAAATTTTCAGAAAAATCAGAATTGCAAATAAACCATGGAAAATGATGTGTCGCATATTCTGGCGGTTTCAAATCAAGCAAAAACTGATCAAGAATGAAATTTTCTGAGAAATAAAATAAACAAGTTGTCTTTGCAACTAGTGTTTTAAAGTGTCAAAAAACGCCATGAAAAAAAAATTAATATTTTTTTGGGTTATATACACATACTTTTAATAATTGTATGTTACATACATGTATCGTTTAAAATATAAAATTGACTTTAAATCCTGAAAAAGCTTACAGTGCCTTGTTGATAAAATGTTTTATGTCATTCGGTCTAGAAGGTCTTGTTGTGCTTTGATCAATTGTAGGCCTCAAATTTTGAGCTCAGCACAAAAAGACGAATTACTTATTGGCCTAATGACATATATAACTAGTTTCTCATTGCGACATTTTATTTTTCAGTTGACACAGGCTCAGGAGGGCGTAAGTGGCGAACTGCAAAAACTAGATGCCGCCAAAGACGCTTGCCTGGAACAGATTAACTCGACATTCCAGCAGATTCAAAACGATCTCGACAAAAGAAAACAAGAATTAATAGATGAGGTCAACAAAATGTGCACCGAAAAGAAAAAAGTTCTCGAAGAGCAGCATTTATTGATAGAAAATGAAAAAAATAAGGTAAAAAGCAAAATACATCTAGTGATATACCGTATTTTCATTTGAAATATATACACTCGAGTGAACCCTAAAGCCTATGTTTTGCATTTGCAAGTGTGTATTTCAAACTTTTTAACATAAATTAATTTATTTAAAAAAAAAATTAAGGGGGCAATTTTCTACGTCAAGCAAGAGACCTATTCTGTTAAATATCCAAATCGTTCTATTTTGTCAATTAATTAATTTATTTTCATTTATTTTATGAAGTTTGATTTTTAGTTTTGCTTAAAGAGATTAATTTATTTATTTGTTTTCAAGAGAATTATTATATTTTTTTATTTTGGTTTTTAAAGAAAATAGTAAAACGTTTTTTTTATAAGAAAAAACTTTTAGTCAAATGCAAAACAAATAATGGTTTTACACCTTTAATTAATTACACTATGATAGTTTTAGAAACTTTTTTGCCTAACATTGAGTACTCCAGCTTAGTTTAACTAATTTTGGGCCGCTGATTTCAAAAATGTCATTTGTTTTTCTCTAGGACGTCTAGGATTTAAATTAATTTCGTAATAAAAATGCTCTGCTTAATCACCTCAGAATGTATGTTAGTATGTTAGTATTTAATTATTTATTAAATTATTTTGGCTTAAATTTATCTTGAATGTTCTGAAGTAACAATATGACATGTTAAATACTAAAACTAACATTTTAATGTATTTTATGTAAAAAAACAACCATTATTTGACATTTTTTGTCGTTTATTTCAATTATTGAATTGAAAGGGCAACAAAGTAAACAAGTTTCGGTATTTTTATTCAAATTAAGCCCACAAAATATAATGCGCATTGCATAATTTTGTTTTTTCTACTTTAAATGTATTACATTGTATCAAATATCGAACTGAATTATGGTATTATTGTGCTTAATCCTCATCATCGTCGTACATCTTTTGCTGCAAATTCCAGCAAATGTCTCCTAGCAATGAATCCAACTTCTTTCCCCTATACCCATAAATATGTACCAATGCTCTAGATTTGCAGTTACTTGGTAAAATCGTTCGGCAAATTTATCAGGATGAAAAAAAAAGAAAATATATTTTAAATGACATATTAACGCTATAGTACAGTCATCTTAGTCAAAAAAAGGGGTCAACCTCGGAATCTAACGGAATAAGCTGAATTTTTGTGAAAACCTTTATTTTAGCATTACTAATGTTGTCTCAAAAGTCACATATGCCAACGTGTGAGCGGCCTTAGATATTCAAGGTCAAAGGTCGCAAAAATCAGTTTTTTGAGAATATCTCGTTTTCTCTGCCTCCTATCGTATTTGCATTTATTATAAAAGTTGTAGAGAATAAAATTTTCTACAAATTTTGTTTACAAAATTTTTTTATACGTCGAACCGTTTTTGAGCTAGAGGGCGCAGAGTGTGGAGCGCTCAGCCATACGTACCTTTAGCGCAAGGTAAATCGTGAATCCCAATCTATTATACCGTTTTTTAAATTAATTATATAATAAATATTACTAAAATAAAAATTTAATACCTTATACTTATATTTATATTTCTTTTAAATCAAATATATTTTATCTTCATATATATCTTATATTTTAATTTAATTTTAATGAAGGAAAATTGGATCGGAGTAGGAAAAAATGTTTTTATTTATATCAATATTATTATTATTATTAATCTTCTTCATCCTCGTCTTCTTCAGGTTGGCCAGCAATTTCAGACTCATTCTCATCATCACTCTCCTCTTTATCATTGACATTAATTGTCATATCTTCAAAAACTTACTTATAACGCGTTTGTACTTTGCAGAATTGTTTGCCTTTGTTGCCTCATCTGCGACTTCACCACAAAATAAGCACAATATTTTAAAATCAAACACATCATTCCCTTTTTTACGAGGTATAGTTCATGACGTTGAAGGTCCAGTCTCTTCAAGGCGACGTTTTGCTGCTGCAATTTTACTATAGTACGCTATAGCGTACAATTTTCGACACTCAATATGAACGTTCACAGAAGTCAAAGTATTTAGGTAGTTTATGTTTATTTCTCTCAATAATTGCTTCTTTTAAAATCTTTATACCACGCACAAAAGTCACAGAATCACCTTCAAAAAGTAACTTATTACAAATAAAACACAAATCAGCCATGTTAACCTTTAAAATATTACCAATATTACCTGTCACAACCCTAGACCTATACCTAGGGTCACAACTTGCTTTAAATATAGGTATATATATATATATATATATATATATATATTATATATGAGTATGAGTATGAGTATGAGTATGGGAACGTATGGCAAGCCCCAGATATATTGTCATCCACTGATCTCCCGAGGTTATATTACCCCCTTTCCGTTCTCCTGCGTATCCCGCCAAATCACAGCATTACCTGTGTTTGTTGGATCCGAAGTTTTTACGCCGGCTGGTAGATCCACCCTAGGAGTTCGTGGATGACAGTGTCAAAGGTTAAGGCAGCTCCCGGGATTTTTGTCAGCCGGGTCGGGCCATACGTCCAGTTTAGGAAGGGCTTTTGGAGGACATTGAACTGACCCAAAACTAAGTACAATCCGGAATCCTCCTAAACCAGGGCTTTAGTAATAACCCCATTCATTTGGTATTCCTGAATGGGGGTGGGTATGTTAGTTTTTCTGCTTACTCCGGCTACCAACCTTGTATATTCTTTATTTATTTTATTGCTATATTAGTGTTCATACCGTTTTCATTTATTTATATCTTTGCCTTCTTACTTATTTTTTTTCAAATTAATTTAAAAATAAAAATATTAATATACAAAATAGATAAAGCCGGCCCTGTGGTGTATCGCATCAATTTGAAACCCGGCCCCTATGTCAGGCGTGCAACGCATGCCTCAATAGATGGCCTACCACTTCATTTTCGCGTGGGGGCTTTGCCCATTTACTTTCTCCATCCTCCAAGCCTTGCTTGCGTGAGCTTATGTGTATATTATATAATATATATAATACAATAATATAATATTGCGACGCACCCACTTGATTTCCCTTCACACACGCACGCTGCCCTCTGCAATGATCAATTGTTGCCTGGTTTCCTGTTAAATTAGTATCTATATAAATTCAATATAAATTTCAATTAGTCAATACCAATACTAATACCAAATAATACAAATAATCAATACCAATATCAACCAATCAATCAATTAATCAATATTAACGTTAATATCAGTATCAACCAATTAATCAATCAATATTAATACTAATATCAATATCTATAATGCCAATATCAACATCAACACTTATACCAACAATATTACCATCAATACCAATACCAATATGATTATATCAATATCAATCAATCAATTAAATTATTAATTAATTAATTAATCACTTTATGTAAATCGATCTTCAAAATAGAGCCGGCCCTGTAGTGCATAGTGGAATGCGTCTTTATGGCCTGCTTGGCTCTTGAATTCCGTGTATTAGCCTGGCTTGATTTATGAGTGTGACCCTAAATTTATTTATGATAAATTTTTGTCTTCTTGCTTGAATTGGTTTATTTGCTTACGCCTTTTACGCTGGTTGTTTACGTTTGTCTGCCATGAGAAAATAGGTTGTTATTTAACAGTTACGGAAATGTTCTTATTATTTTTTAAATTTAATTTTTAAGACGAATAGATTTCTTAGATTCTTTGCAACTTTGTGAAATGCTTATATAAACATTTAACGATTATACGGCAAGACATGCAATTAGAAGAATTACTTAGCTTGATTATTAGGCTATAAACCTGATGCTTTGTCCTTCGCGGGGAGTCCCTCTCCTGTAGGTTTTTGCATAGAAAAAGGACGTTTTTGGAACGCTCCGATCCAGGTGCGCCGGTTGACTTATCGTTGCTGCCCAGCCTCAATCAGGCACTTATTCACTTGCACACCTTTACGGCGTTATCTCACAATTTTCGCACTTCTTGTTTATTTATGTATTTATTTATTATTTATTATTCATTAACGATCACCGACATTTCCGGACACTTCGTTTCGCTTTTGGCATTTTACGTTTGTATCGTATACGCCACTTAGGATCTTGACGCATCCGACCTCTTCGAGCATCAAGACGGTACTATATATATATATATATATTATATATATATATATATTATAACAAGACTACTATAGTATTTCCAGGTCTGTTATTTTAAAACCAATATCTGGATCCAAGAGATGACCAGAGACATATTCAAGGCAAATTCATTTAATGTCTTTTCTTCTTAAAATGCATTTATCATTAATTGGAATAACATTAGAATATATTTAGAATGATTTACTTCATTATTTAATTATTTGTATGTCAAAAGTAAGTAATATTTAATGACTATTTGTTTTAAAAAAAATATATAAAAATAAATATAAGGTATTAAATTGTTATTTAAGTAATATTTAATAAATAATTAATTAAAAAAACTGTATAATAGATTGGTATTCAGGATTTACCTTGCGCTAAAGGTACGTATGGCTGAGCGCTCCACACTCTGCGCCCTCTATCTCAAAAACGATTTGACGTATAAAAAATGTTTTAAACAAAATTTGTAGAGAATTTTATTCTCTACAACTTGTATAATAAATGCAAATACGATAGGAAGCAGAAAAAAGGAGATATTCTCAAAAAATTGATTTTTGCGACCTTTGACCTTGAATATCTAAGGCCGCTCACACGCTGGCATATGTGACTTTTGAGACAACATTTCCAATGCTAAAATAAAGGTTTGTACAAAAATTCAGCTTATTCCGTTAGATTCCGAGGTGAAATGCCTAGATGACTGGACTACTAATCCTTTACAAAACGAAGAGCATTTTTTCAATAAATTGGCGCCAATTTTAGGCCCGATATGAACCAAGAACATTTTCAATGAGAGCTTTAACGTCAACTTTGAAAGCATTTTTGAATGCTCGATCTTTCATAAAACGTCGTATATCAGGGCCATTTAATATTCCTGCAAAATTTTGTAATGAAATATTGTGTTGGACAAAACAAATTTACAACGACGACATAAAGTCGTCTCCTTTCTCTTTCTCTGCCACTTCCATTTTCTGCTCTTTTTTTAATTTTTGGTTCTTAAAATCACTTTTAAGTAAAAATACAATTTAAAGTTTAAATTTTATATGTCAAAAATTAATAGATGAACTTTAATGTGCTAGATAAAGGCGCCTTTATATTCAATTCGATATTAAATTTTGATACGACTTAATAAATAAGATTGGAGATTAAATTTTTGGGTACTTTAGGCATGATATAAATAAAAAAATTTCAAATAATAGTCGAAGAGTAATGTATATACCGAAACCCATTTACTTTGTTGCCTTTTCAATTTAATTAGTAATTAAAAAAACGACACACAATTTTAAAAAATGATACTTTTTACAAAAAAAACATTATAATTTTAGTTTTGTCAGAAAAGTGCTTTATTAAATATCCCTTATATAATACTATAGCTACAATGAAATAAAAAATGTTCTATTTGACATTTATCTACCGATGAACATCCAAAATAGATTTAAGGCAAAATAATTTAATAAATAATCAGAAAAACTTACATTTTGAGATAATTGGGCAGAGCATTTTATTACGCAATTAGTTTGAATCCTAGACGTCCTGGAGCAAAATGAGTAGCATTTTTGAAATCAGCATTTCAAAATTAGGTAATATAGGTGGGCGTACTCAATGTTAGTAATTCAAACTATCATAGTGTAATTTACTGTTAAAAGTGATTTCGTTACATTTTAAGTGTCTGAATAATCTGAGAGCACCCATCGTCGGTGAAGGGTCTACTGCTGAATTACGAAAACCATCTTTTGAAGTCTCCCACTCTTAAAAATTATTCTTCCTCTCTTAAAAACCGAATGCAGGAAAAATGAAAGTACGGTATATTACTATATTTTATTTGCAGGTGGAGCAAGAGTGTCAAGGCCTGCAATACCAGGTGGAAGTGCGCAACATAACTCAAAGAATCGAAATACTCACCGAACGCCTGGACGCCGCTTCCGGTCTGGGCGAGCCGCGCGAAAACTCCTTCTTGACGTGCGACTTCCGGCAAAACGACTGCATCGAGCAAATCGAGAGCCACCTGCACAACTTGGGCAGGGTGCGCACGAGCACCACCTTCCCGAGCCTGTGCTCGGCCACGCTGGAGTGCGACGTCATCTCGGGCATCGAGGCTTTCATCACGCTTAAAACGGTCGATTACCACGGCAATCCGCAGAAGAACGGCGGCGATCCCATCAAGGCGGACATGGCGCTGGTCAGCGCGGACGTGGTCGGCGCCACCGGCAGCGTGCCGTTGAGGATAGTCGACGGCGAGGATGGCACGTACAAGATATGCTTTAGGTAAGGATTCGGAAAAAAATCGTGCTAAATGATGCTAAAAAACAGGCATCCCAGATGAGAGGCGATTTTATGCTATAATTTAAGTAAGCGCTGAAATTTTGTAGGGTTGGAACGTTTTCATATTAAAAAACCAACGTTAATATATTTTTTTATCTCCACGCGGTCTATAATTTAAACTTTATTGTTGTCAACATTCGATAAAGAAATACCTTGTTATGGCCTAGGCCGATAAAAAATTTTATGAGGCAAGTAATTATTTCGATTTTTTCTCGCTAGGGGTATTGTTTTGACAAATTAATCCTTTTCTAAGAAATTAACGTACTAAACTGTTTAATATTTTTCATTAAATTATTGTAAAATTAAATATGAATATTAAAACAAAAAGTAAGGTTAGGCAACCAAGAAAACGCACGATTCTTTTTCTACGATTTAAACTTTAAGTTTTAATTTGCTTTAAGTTTTCAGTGAAATTAAATGTTAAATACAGCTTAAACATTCCAAACTACCTATTTTTTAAATAAAAATACAAGCAAATTGAAATTAAATACCTACCTATTTGTTAAACAATTAATTGAATTCAATGTAATAGCAAACATTCATTTCTACTTAAATCATGTTGCTAGGTATTGTCAAACTATTTCTGCTTCTAAAAGCAATAATAATTATTGTACATTTAATGTAATATTTAGCTAATAAATAAATGAGATTCTAAAAAAGTGAGGTTAGGCCGCTTTAATGTTGAATTAAATTGACCTATATAAAGTGCTTTGAAGATAAAATGTTGTATGCCATTCGGCCAAGAAGTGCCTTTTGTGCTTCGCTCAATTGTAGGCCTCCGCTACGCGTCAGCCTTCAAACCTTGAGCTTAGCACAAAAAGCCTTACTTCTTAACCTAATGACATAAATAACTATTAAATTTAATTATTTTGGAAAATAAAAACATTACTTAAAATGAAATTAAAAAACAAACAAAAATTTGACTGGTTTCTTAGTGACAGCAAAAAACATTTCTTAAAATAAAACAACAAATAGAAAATTTGCTAAGTTTAAAAAAACAAATTTATTTAAGCAAAAAAAAATAGTTGGTATTAAAAAAATTACTCAGATTCAGATTCGGACGTTTGGGGTGGGTCTGTTATTGGATAAAGAACTTGTCTGTTCATTTTTTTAATTAAATATTTATCCAAAGTAAAATCAAAGCACGCCGTTTTAGCATTTATTAGATAATATTTTAAAGATTAAAGGTTAGCACTTTATTGGTGTTAAGTTTACAAAGTTATTTTTTTTAAACAATTGATAGTCAAAAAATATTTTGAATATAAAATACAACTGTAAAACTTTAAGCTTAGAAATATTGATTTTTAAACATTTTAGTAGTAGTAGTAGAATCATTTAAATTAATTAATTTGTAATACAAAAATACAAAACTTTTTATTTTGAACAATTTTAAATTGATAACTTTACAGCTAAAGCAGCGTTTACACTTTGTGAATTAAAAAGTATCGACTTACATTTAAATGTAATGTGAATATATTTGTGTTAAAATTTATCAATTTAAATTTGTTTTTCTACTTCCACCTCTAAATGGGCGTATTAGTAGATCGTATATATTTCCATGACACTAAGTGACCTTTTAAATACAAATTGACAAGTTGTGGCTTTATGGCACTTTAGTCACGGGCTGAAGTTAAGTTAGTTGATAACTGTTGTCAAATGTCTTACAATCGTTAAAATAAAGTGCCTTCCTTGTAAAATAATACAAATGTAAAAATTATTTTATTATTTCAATACAAAAATACAAAAGTATTAAATAGTTTATCAACGCCAATATTTGAAAAGTTTATATAAACATTGTACTGGCCTTTTAGTTTTGCCGGCAGTAAACTATAACTTAAATTCTGGCTCGGACTCCACTGTGAAGTGGTCATAAAACATTTTCTCTACTTTTACTGTGAAAAACTGTTGTAAACCCATTTTCAAAGAATACATTTCGATTTATAACCTTTATTATCATACAAATTTGACATTTGACGGTAACGCAGATTCCAATATTGTTTTATAGATGGCGCTCTATACAAATATTTGATTTAAATCATTTTAAGATAATAAGTATTTTTCGTAAAAGTATAGTATGCGCTGTGTTTATAAACTTTTCTAGACACTCATTAATTTAAGCACTCGCTAACAAGCTCGCTCGTGCCTAAATTAAATTCTTGTCTAAAATGGCGTTTATCAAAATTGATACATAATATACTATTATCTACTCCCCCATTGATAAGATGTGACTTTATGGCGTTTTAGTCACGGGCTGAAGTTAGCAACATTGGCTTTTGGTCATTTTAGTCAAGGGCTAAAGTTAGCTTTATTTTAAATTGGGAAAAAGCGAGGTAAAACCGTTGACAGTTGACAGATGTCAAATTTTTAACAAAAAAAGTTGGCTTTAAATTCTTCTTTGTGTTCGTCGTAGATAAACACTCGCTCGCAAGCTTCGTTCGTGCCTAATAAACTTCGTAACTTTATTAACAGTTATAAAACATGATAAATAATATACTATAAAAATAAAAATTATTGGTTTAAATGTAATGTGAGAATTTTTGTATTAAAAATGTTTAAAAATTTAAACCAATAATTTTGTAGAATAAAATATTAAAATTACAATTTTTAAAAACCAACATTTTAAAATGTAGTGAATTATGAATTGCACCACTTTAATTTAAATAATCTTAATTAGGGGTGGCAGGAGGCTGGTGAGGCGCGCTGAAAAAATAACTTTTTTTTGCAAACTTCAATTTAAATTCTGCTTACGCAGAACTTGTCTATTTAATGTCATAAACTCATATAAGTTTGGTGTGGGTCCCATGTCTATTAACTTGGATATTGGTAAACCCAACATCCACAATCCACCACAGTGGTGGCACCACTGAATCAAATTCATTGAAATTACTAAGCAAGCTCCACTACTGCTAATATCTTGTAAGGATCCATCTAATAAATTGGGAAATTTGGTGGCAACATCTGCAAGACTTCATTTTTTTTACTTATTGCAAGGATCCATAAATTCAAATTTTAACGGATAATTTTGATATTCATGATGGACAAAAAATCTTTAGTCGATTTATGACTTTTTAATAAATATTTCAACCATTATTAATTTTTTTGTATTTGCACAGTTTTTACATAGGTAGTAAAAAAATATAATGCATATTTTTTAACTGTAACTTGTATGTTATTTCTATGTTATTCTTAACTATTGTTTACTCAATACTACCACTTCTTCACTCAACGCTACTACTATAAATAGCTACTAGATGGAGAGATTCTTAATGATAGATTTCTAGAAAATCTAGTTTATTTTTTTAACAAGTTTGATTTTTATTAGATTTCTTTATTTAATGAGTCCATTTTAATCGATTTGCTATAATTAAGCAGTTATTTTATACACGGTGCACCGCGGTGATGTAAAACAGTGTAATTTGAAATAATCGTGAGATTTAAAAGATTTTTCGTTATATCGTGAATATTCGTGAGATCTCACGATAAATCGCTAAAAACTCTCCTTCTCTTCCATTTTAGGGCTCCAAGAGCTGGCCGATACGGCGTGAACCTGGCCGTCATAGATCGGCCGATAAAAGACACCCCTCTCTACTTCGACGTCACCGATCACAACAATCCGATCTGCGTGTACGGCGGAAGGGGAAGCGGAAAGGACGAGTTCATGCAGCCCGTCGCAGTGGCTGTGGACGAAAAGGACAACAGCGTCTATGTGCTGGACACAGGCAATTCGAGAATCAAAGTGTTGAACGAGGACATGGAGTTTGTTAAGCACATCACTAATGATGGACTGTTGGGAAGGAGCTGTACAGGTAAAATGCAAGCAATATTTTTTTTAGTTTGTTTTGGTTTCATGGTTTTATTATACTTTGTGAAACAGTTTATTTTAACAAAAAATTTTGGAAATGAGTTTTTTTATTCCAAAAATAAATAATATTGGCTACCTATACAATATTAAAAAGTAAAATATGTTAAAAATATTATTACAGTTCTGACCAATAAAATATAAAAAAAAACTACAGGTAAAATAAAATCAACATTTTTGTGTGAGCCTGAGTCTATCGTTTTTAAAAACGAGCCGCTACAATTAAATTTATTAGTGCTACCCAAAGAATTATTGCCATGTTACACAGTTTAATTCGATTTTCCTCCATGAAAAATTTTAAGATTTTAAAAATAAAGTTTAAAAAAACGTACCCGTGTCTTACCGTTTCACGAAATCACGTCATTTAATTTTTTTATACAGCCATTATTATTTTTAACCTAAACATATTTTTAATTCTCTATTTTGTTATAAATCATTACTTTTCTTCAAATATTTTATGTTTTTACATAATAAAAAAATTATACTTAAAGAAAATAAAAATTTTAATTTTTGCCACTTTCGGTTTTACCAGAACTTTCTTATTTCAAAAAAACACTCCATATATTTTTACATTTTTAAATTCTACATAAAATTCTGAGCAAACTTACTATTTTTTTACCATTTCTATACGTACCTAAAGTAAATAGTTTTCGAGTTCCCTATAGATATTTAACAATTACATCAATCGAAATGTTTTTTAATTTTCTATTTGATTATGTAAAAACATACAGGGTGTTTCATTTAAAATAAAAAAGTTATTAAAGTTTCAAAATAGCCTAATTTGCCCTGGGTTTTCTTGAATAATTTGTTAAAAAATCTTAACGAATTGACAAGGAATCTTTAAAACAATGTTTTGAGATTTCAAAAATTCCACCCCGATTTCGGCAAACCTAATAGCAAAAAAGTTATAGGCTATTTTTGATTGACGCGCATTTGTCAAACTTTAACTTTAAAAATTAATAACTCGATTCACTTTAGGTATAGGACATGATACAGTAATTTTACTCAAAAATTTATGTAGAATTTAAAAATGTAAAAATATATGGGGTGTTCTATTTAAAATAACAAAGATGATGTTACTTCCGGTCAAACCGGAAGTGGCATTTGTTTAAAATATTTTGGAAAAATAGGCTTAATTGAATAATAAACGCTTTAAAAATTTCAAATCAATATCTTTTGCCGTCCCTCAGAAACTTTTAATGGACCACGAACGTAAAACACCCGTATTTCGTAAATGTGCAACATATAGGTAATTAAAATAATTTTAAAATAAATAAATGATTTTGGACTTAAAATTTCGCATAGATAATCTTATAATATAAGATATTATCTTGTGGGGCACAAAATAGTATATTATGTATCAAGCCTGTTGGATACGAATAAATAAATAAATAAATAAATAAATAAACGCCATTTTAGTTACGAGTTTAATTAAGCACGAGCGAAGCTTGCGAGCGAGTGTTTAATAAAAACGAGTGTCTAGAAAAGTTTATAAACGAGTTGCATACTATACTTTATCTACGACGAACACAAAACAGAATTTAAAGCCAATTTTATTTGTTAAAATTTTAACATCTGTCAACTGTCACCCGAATTTAACCTCACTTTTTCCCAATTTATAATAAAGCTAACTTCAGCCCGTGACGTAAAATGTCGAAAAGCCACTGTTGTTAACTTCAGCCCGTCAATAAAACGCCATAAAGTTACAGCTCGTCAATGTAGGAGTAGATAAACACTTTTTTATATGTTTTTGGTTGCATTATAGAACTTGCATTGAGCATGGTCTTTTTTTGCACCATTTTCTAATAATTCCAAATATAAGATTTTTCTCTTGGCATTGTACTGTATCTAAACAGCAAAAACGTTATTGTTTTTATTTTGTCAACCTTTTAAAAGGCTTTTTTATGCAAAGGGTTTTTTGCAAACGATTTATTAATTGTGATGATGAAACTTTCAAGATGAAAATAAATTCTCGTCTGGAAACGTTCCAAATTGGAAACTTTCCTTTAAATGGAAACTTTTTGATTCCCATCTCTAGTAAATAAACATTCTCGTTTTGCGTTAGGTATTGCGATTTCCAATGACGGTTTGGTGGTGGTGAATTGGCGCACGAAATTCATAACGGAGATGACCACCGACGGCGAAACTTTGAAGTCTTTCACGTACAACGCGTTTCAGGAACCGATCGATTTGGCGGTCGACAAAAGTTACGGTCACGTTCTGGTGGCCGATAACGGAATGAGTTGCGTGTTCGTATTCGATGCAGAAGGAAAAATACTGTTTAAGGTAAGAGGAAAGAAACCAGAAATAAAACCGGACTAGCCTTTAAAAGAATTCTTATTCAAAAATTACTTTTAAATTTTAATTTATTAGTTATTTAGCGTGTTAATTGTACCGTTTTGTAAATTTTTTAGGAGGTTTTTACTAGGGTTTTAAAGTGTCGAAAAAATACCGGAAAAATTGGGGGAAAACGGGTTATTTTAGTTTTTTCCCAGGCCTTGGAAAAATTGGCTTTTTTGGGAAAAATTAAATATTTTTTAAGATTATTTTAATCAACAAAAAAGCCTTTATTACTAAAAAACAAATAAAACTAAACATTGAATTGAATTTAATTGATTTAAGAAAAGAAACGTAAATGTTTAAAATACTGTCAGTTGGGTCCATTTTGCAAAAGGGAGTACATTGAAAATATCAATTTAAAAAATAATGAATGTGTTTAGTTTTGTTTGTTATAATTAATTTAACTTTGTCTGGAGTCCGCCCGGTATAGTAAATGTTTTGCTTCTTGGGAAAACAAAAAAAAAGCAGTTTCGTTTGGCAGAAAAAGGACACAACCGATCGAGGCATCGACGCGTGGTTTTGATAGTTTTGTTCGCTATTTTTAGTTATCGTTATTAGTATTAGAAAAGTTAAAAAGTGCAAATATTAAATACGTTGACGCCAGCTCTTGGAGCATTACAGTTTCACGAATAACATTAACATCAATTGCGTGTTTTGGTCAAACTAAGGGGCTGTAGCGGATCAACAGCCAGCTGGCACGAAGAAAGAACAGAAATTCCTGGTAAGTCCCAAAAAGTTAAAGATTAAAACACGATGGTCCTTCTTAGTTAGAATAAAAGTAATAAAATAATCAACATATTGTTGGTCTTCGAACCGAATCACGTTATTTGATTTTGCACTTTTTAGCAGAATTTTCTCTATCGAATTTACCGAACTCAATTATTACAAACATTTAGATAATTTCAGTTGTGTTACTTGTAATAATTAGTAGGTATAAACTTTTGCTTTTGTGGTTTATTTAAATAAATTATAATAAATCATTTCGTTGAATTTAATTGGTTTAATTAACTTTAAATAATTAATAAATTTTATAATCATTAAATTTATTATTTGGCATTGTTTTTTTATCGCTGTTTTTTCGCTTTGTATTGTTGGAAACATAACGAACATTTTATAAAACATTAGGTAGATATCTACATACACGTTTAAAACAAAAATAATTGTTGCAATTTTGTTGGCGTTTGGGTACAGGGTGACTCAAAAATATCGGATTATTTAGTTTTTTCTCGTTTTGTAGTTTTAACGTTGTATATTGGTTTATAGCGTTATTATAATATTAAGTTGGAGTTTGAATAGCTTTGTTTGAAAAGAAAGAAAAAAGGAAAAACATTCCAATTAATGGTTTTATTTTGTTTAAGTAACGGTTTCAGTTTTATACAATAGGTTGTCGCTATGGCAGAATTTAATGCATTAATTTACCAAAGACAAGGCCAAATAGAGCGTCTTAAACGCATACTGGCGATTGCTGAAGCTGCCGAAGGTGATGCATCTAAGTTAAATAATTTTAAAGTTGCTTTTAGAACATCGGATTTATGTTACAAAGTTTGTGCTAAAATAACAGATGATATTTATCTTTCTATTGCATGTGATGACGATAAAACTGAAGCTATTAAAAAACAAGATAAGGATAGAGAGAAAGATACAGCAAAATTAGTTGATGAATATTATTGGAAAATTCAAATGAAATATGACGCGCTATTTGGAGCTACCGCTTCTGCTAGTGGTACTCATAATAATGTTAAATTACCTAAATTAAATTTACCCAAGTTTGATGGTAAGTTCACGGAGTGGAATTCTTTTAAAGATTTATATGTCGCTTTAGTTCATTCAAACTCAAACTTAACAGATATTGAAAAATTCCATTATTTAATTTCATCATTAAATGGTGAACCACTAAAAATTGTAAAATCCGTTGCAATTTCGAATGCAAACTATCCAGTTGTAGTAAAGCAGTTATATGAAAGATATGACTCAAAACGTAGATTGGCTGCCGCGCATTGGCACGCTATTATTAATTTACCACCCGCCGTATCTGACAATTCTTCTGCTTTGATTAACTTATTGAGTACAGTAGCTGAAAACTTAGCAGCTCTTAATAATATAGGGTTACCAACATCTGAATGGAGTTACATTATTTTTGACTTAATCTTTAGAAAATTGCCTAGGCACTTATGCACAAAGTTTGAGGACCAATCTGATAAAAGTCAATTACCAAATTTTGATGACCTTAAAAAATTTATTGAAGGTCATTGTGATTCCTTAGAATCAGTAGAATCTCTTGGTAATAAAAAATATCAGTTGCCAGGTACATTTTCTAAGGGTAATAATAAACACTCCTTTGTCGCAAGTCATACAGATGTTCCAGAAATTAAGGCAGATGAATTAAAGCAAGGTAGACTGAATGTAGACCAATGCTCTTTGTGTAAAAATAACCATACTCTTTCGAAATGCCAAAAATTTTTAAGTAACAGTTCCTATGATAGGCTAGGTGTTGTCAAGCGATTGGGGCTTTGCATCAATTGTTTGCGGCAAGGACATGGTGTCCGCTTTTGTTCCTCTATTCATTCATGTGCAGTTTGTGGAAGAAAGCATCATACCTTGTTGCACTTCGATTCCAATTTGACTTTGCAAAATAAAACCAGTGGTTCAGAAAATTTTGTTTCGCAATCAAAGGTGAATGTGCCAACGTCCAACGTTGCTTCAACTTCTGCCCGCACAGACAATATACTTTCTTTGGCAGCAGAATCGAATTCGTCGGTTCTACTCTCAACTCTTCTTGTTCTTGTTCGTGATTCTCGCAATGTTTTCCAACCAGTAAGAGCGTTACTGGACTCTGGATCTCAAACTTCGTTTATTTCGCTTAAATGTTTAAACCGTCTTGGTCTTCAAAGTTCCTATTGTCGCGCCAGTATTACTGGAATTAATTATAGTTCTCCGGTTAGGGCAGAAGGAATAACATCTTGTGTTTTAAGGCCGAGAAAGGGAATAGACCCCCAGTTGCAGGTTGAAGCCATTGTTTTATCCTCACTAATTTCCAAGGTGCCCTCCAGAATGGTTGACGGGTCACAGTGGGATCATATTGTGGGACTACAGTTGGCTGATCCAGATTTTAATAGTTGTAAATCTGTGGATATGATATTAGGTGCTGAAGTCTTTTCGCAGATCATAAAATCTCGAAGAGTTTCGGGCCATCCAGGTCAACCTATTGCCATTGAAACCTCCTTTGGATGGATTTTGATGGGTAGAGTTGACGCTGTTCCTTCACCGTTGATCTCTTTATTTACTTCTGTTGATCACTTTGATCTTAGGAAATTCTGGGAGATAGAAGAAGTTCCACAGAAACAATTTTTATCGTCGGAGGATCAACTGTGTGAGGAAAAGTATACTGCCTCGGTTCATCGTAATTCAGATGGTAGATATATTGTTTCACTTCCCTTTAAGGAACCAGAGCCGGTATTTTTAGGGGATTCCCGTTCGATAGCCCTTCGTCGCTTTAAATCTTTAGAGAGAAAATTTGATCAAGATGATTCTTTCAGATCTTCTTATGGTGCAATATTTCAAGAGTATTTAGACTCAGGAAAAATGGAAATTGCCGAGCCTCCTAGTTCGAAGGAGGCTAATTACTACTTACCCCATCATGCGGTTAAAAAACATGATGGTAAGGGAACAAAGCTTCGAATTGTCCTAGATGCCTCCGCAAAGTCATGCGAAGGTAAATCGCTTAATAGTTGTCTTTTAGCTGGTCCTAAGCTACAAACCGATATCGCTAATCTTCTGGTTAATTTTCGCATTAATAGGATCGCCTTTACGGCTGATATTAAGGGCATGTTTCTTCAGATACTGGTAGAGGAATCACATCGGGATTATCAACGTTTGCTTTGGAGATTTAATCCTCTTGAACCCATTCAAGAATATAAACTAACAAGAGTAACTTTTGGATTAACTTCGTCGCCTTTTTTAGCGCAACGCACGATACAACAGTTGGTTCTCGAAGAAGGTCTTGAATTTCCACTGGCTTCAAAGGCTTTGTCTGAATGTCTTTATGTAGATGATGTTTGTAGTGGAGCAAATACTTTACAAGAGGCCAAACAGTTGCAAATTGAGCTAATAGAGTTGCTTAAAAGGGGAAAATTTGAGTTGGGAAAATGGGCTAGCAACTCCACTGAATTGTTAGCAGATATTCCAAATGATGACAGGCAAGTAATTAACTTTGATTCTTCAAGCGACATGCTTAAAATTCTGGGTCTCCAGTGGATTCCAACATCCGATTGCTTTACATTTAGTGTTGGTCCAGTTGCGAATGAAACTATTACTACAAAACGCTCCATTTTATCAGGTATCGCTAGGATCTATGATCCATTAGGTTTCTTAGCTCCTATTACCTTTTTTGCGAAGCATCTCATTCAATATTTGTGGTCTTTGGGTTTGGATTGGGACGAAGTTCCTCCTTCTGATGTGGTAGAAAAGTGGTCTCATTTTAAACGTGAATTACCTTTGCTAAGTTCATTAGAAATTCCAAGATTTTTAGAGCTTAATGGTTCAAAGGGTCAAGTAGAACTGCACGGGTTTTGTGACGGCAGTGAGAAAGGTTACGCAGCCTGTATTTATCTACGACAGGTTCATTCAGACGGCCGTATCCTTGTGCATCTCCTGTGTGCTAAATCTAAGGTAGCTTCTCTTAAGAAGGTTACACTTCCTAGACTTGAGCTATGTGGAGCCGTTTTATTAGTTAATTTATTTCGTTTTGTGCAAATTTCTGTCGCTAATAAAATACATGTTGATAACATTTTTGCTTGGTGTGATTCTACTATTGCAATATCGTGGATAAAATCGTCTCCCCACAAGTGGAAAACGTTTGTCGCTAATAGGGTTAGTTATATACAAGACATTTTGGCTCCTGACAGATGGTTTTATGTTAAGTCAGCTGATAATGCTGCAGACGCAGCTACTAGAGGCTTATTGCCAAAAGATCTTGTTAAAGCCCGCATTTGGTGGAACGGTCCAAATTGGCTTCAAACTTCAACGGAAACTTGGCCCATGACGAAGATATTTCCAATCCAACTGGAGGAATGCGAAGCCGCCAAACCTATCCAGTTAGCTTGTGTAGCTGTTCAACCAGATAATTTTTTTGACAGGCTTTTACAAAGCTTTTCTTCTTACTACAAAATTATTAGTATTATCGCCTATGTTTTCCGATTTTTGCAAAAGGTGAGAAGGCAGGATGCTTCTCGTTCAGGTGGTCTCTCACATATTGAGCTTCATAAAGCTACTTTAGCCCTTTGTAAAAATGTGCAATCCGATGTGTTTCAAGAGGAAATACGTCAAATTAAAGATAGTAAACTTCTGCCTAAACCATTTCGCAAATTGGCTCCCTTTTTGGACGAAAGGGGAATAATTAGAGTTGGAGGTAGACTCAAGCATTCAGACCTTTCCTTTGATGTCAAGTATCCCATCCTTCTACCCAAAATTCATACATTTACGAACTTGGTTATTGGATATTTTCATGAAAAATATTTGCATCCAGGAGTTCAAACTCTGCACTACTTATTAGGGCAGCAGTTCTGGATCATTGGAGCAAAGAGAGTAATACATCGTTGTTTGTCGAAATGCAACAGATGTTTTCGGGTTAAACCAAAACCTTTGGTGCCCATTATGGGTAATTTGCCTTCTGCAAGGGTTACTCAAACTAAGGCCTTTTCGCATGTTGGAGTAGATATGGGTGGACCCTATAGTACTTTTGTTAGTCGTTATCGCGGTGCAAAAACCATTAAATCGTACATTTGTGTCTTTATCTGTTTTGCCACTAAGGCTGTTCATATCGAATTAGTTTCCAGTCTTAGTTCAGAAGCCTTTTTGGCTGCTTTTCGCCGATTTGTTGCTAGAAGAGGTCGGGTTTCCGATATATACAGCGACTGTGGCACCAACTTTGTCGGTGCCAATACTATGCTAATACAATATGTTCAACAAGCTTGTGATAGTTTGGCCATAAAGTGGCATTTCAATCCACCGTCAGCCCCTCACATGGGTGGCCTTTGGGAGGCAGCAATTAAATCCGTTAAGACGCATATCTCTCGTGTTATCGGTGAGCAGATTATCACTTTTGAGGAAATGACTACTTTATTAAGCCAAATAGAAATGGTCTTAAATTCTCGGCCGTTGATGGCCATTAGTTCGGATCCAAACGACTTGACTCCTCTCACGCCGAATCACTTTCTTAATATGGAACCGGTGTCCGCTCCTCCAGATGAAGATTTAAGCACTATCACCTTAAATCGTTTGTCTCGTTGGCAGTTGGTGCAAAGTTTTCACCAGTCCGTTTGGCGCCGCTGGCACAAGGAGTATTTACAAACCCTTCAGTCACGTGCCAAGTGGTATAGGCCTGCATTGGAAATTGCAGAAGGATCTTTGGTTGTTATCAAAAATGAAAACTTACCTCCCGGTAAATGGCTTCTTGGTAGAGTCCAGGAACTCCATCCAGGATCCGATAATGTCAACAGAGTGGCAACAGTACGTACGAAACAGGGCCTATTTAAGCGTCCTCTAGTCAAGCTGTGTGTCTTGCCTACGCAATAGTTTAAATTGCGATTTATGTTTGTGCTGTTTCCAATTAATATATTGCAGAATTTTTTCGGTTATAATAAAAGGAGTGGATCCTTTCATGGGGGGGAGAATGTTTAGTTTTGTTTGTTATAATTAATTTAACTTTGTCTGGAGTCCGCCCGGTATAGTAAATGTTTTGCTTCTTGGGAAAACAAAAAAAAAGCAGTTTCGTTTGGCAGAAAAAGGACACAACCGATCGAGGCATCGACGCGTGGTTTTGATAGTTTTGTTCGCTATTTTTAGTTATCGTTATTAGTATTAGAAAAGTTAAAAAGTGCAAATATTAAATACGTTGACGCCAGCTCTTGGAGCATTACAGTTTCACGAATAACATTAACATCAATTGCGTGTTTTGGTCAAACTAAGGGGCTGTAGCGGATCAACAGCCAGCTGGCACGAAGAAAGAACAGAAATTCCTGGTAAGTCCCAAAAAGTTAAAGATTAAAACACGATGGTCCTTCTTAGTTAGAATAAAAGTAATAAAATAATCAACAGAATGATTTATTAAGTTAAATTACAAAATTTTAATTTTATAAATCGATGTGTGTAAAACGATAGTTAATATAGCACCAAATATGTTTTTTTGCGACACGGTAGAATATTCTTACTGAAATAAAATAATAGGAAAAATTATTTTAATCATAATATTATATGATTATAATCAGCGTCGGAAATTCACTTTTTTCGTATTATCCTTTAAATAAAATGAAAAAGAAAGCAAATGTCAATCTTTCTAAAATTTCCCGGTTTATCAGTTTTTTTTCAAAAAAACGGTTTTTTGGCGCCGGCTCAATTTTTCCGGAAATTTTAAAACCCTAGTTCTTACATATCTGTAATTATTTTTGCCCATTGTCTTGAATAAAATTATTTTCAGGTTGGTAAGAAGGGTACCTTTAACCTCATCTCTTCAGTGACGGTTGGTCCTCTTGGTGAGATAGTCGTTGCTGATTCTAGGATTCAAGTTTTTTCTGCAAAAGGTGATTTTATGGAAGTTTTGTATGATGAAGGAAAAGGTAAATATTGATTTTTTATTTTTATACTATTTAAAAGGGACTTGTAACAGAGTAAGATCACGTCAAGTGGACCCCCCATTTACCTCTTGATCGTGGAATTCAAATAAATATATTTTAATATAAAGTAGTCACCATCAATAATAAAACCCTAAAACAGTTTTTTGAAATTTTCATTTTAACACCAATTTTTTTACAATGAAAATTTTGGAGACTTTTAATTAAAAAATAGATAACAGAAAAACCGTTAGAGATATTTTAATAAAATTTTCAGGATTTATTGTTTAATATTCACATTTTGAAAAACAATTAAAAATTTTAAATTATTTATTTATTATCATATTTTTAATTAACTTTTAAATAAACAAATAAAATTTTTAATGACTTCTCTATGAGGCGCCGTTTGTGCCATAATTATGTTGCTAATATATATTTATTTTTGTTTGATTATATATATTTTTTAAATTTATTTTTAAATTTACTTTATATATTTATTATTTTACTTAAAATATATTTATTTTTTAAGAACAATATATTTATTTTTGTGTGTTAATATTAATAATATTATAATAATATTATTAATAATATTATGTTTTTTTGACATCTGCTAATATATATTTGTTTTTTTGACAGAAAATTCAATGTGGCAACGTTGCATTGTCATTTAACCCGTTGTTCATAGATGTCGTTGTTGTATTAAGTTTATTGATACTTTACCGGCAATATTTTTTGAATTTTTGAGGTTAGATTCCATTAACGACCAGGGTTGGGTCAGTAGAAAACCTTAGGTAATTTACCTTGGTAGAAAAGGGTAGAAAACTTGTTTTCGACTAGCGTCGAAAACCTATAGGGTTTTCTACCTACGTAAATTACTGTATTCGACCTTCTCCTTCCACTTCTCTATAATTGATAAAAATTTGCCCTCATGCCAAAAATTATGTTGGGGTCTCCCAACCAAACGTGGCCCTTTTTTTCCCACCATAATAATGTTAAAAAACTCCAAATAATGGTAGGTGTCTGATTTTTCACAACATTTAACAAATCATAATAAACAACAAACTTGCATAACCTCACATTTTTTGATATTTGACAGTATTCTACTTTTTTACGTTTTCTACCGTCGAAAACGTCGAAAAAGGTTTTCTACATGTCGAAAACAAAAATGTAGGTAGATACCCAACCCTGTTAACGACTTTGTTTTTATTTATAAACGAAAGAAATAGTGAAGACGGTCAATTTTTTGCGGTTATTTGAAACAGGTAAATACCCAATACATTTTTTTTAATTAATTTTCTGGAATATTTTTTGTGAAAGCGAAATTTTAGTAATAATGGAAAGAAGTAGTCCAGAGTTGCGTAGCACACTTGTTTTGAGTAGCCACCGAAAATTCACCGAATTTTTCTTTCGTTTTTAAATAAAAACAATCGCTAATAGAATCTAACCTCAAACATTCAAAAAATATTGCCGGTAAAGTATCAGTAAACTTGTTAGAAGAAAAACTTAACACGTTCACTGCCGACGTAAAAGTCCGCCCATATTGCAGTGCCGATAGCTTTTTTTAGAAATTTTAAATAAAAATGGACTAAAGTTGTTTCTTTCGTTTCTTATTGAAAGGTTCTATATGAAAAAATACTAACACAAAAAACAAATAAACAAACGCGGTAGACGCGTTGGCGGCACCCAGCGACAAAAACCATGCTATATGCCACCGTACAGAACGCGGGTCCCGCGTGCTCGGCATATTGTAAAATACACAAGAACGCGGTAGCCGCGTTGCCGGCAGTGAAAGGGTTAAAGAAGGTAAACTTAAAACAACAACGACATCTATGAACAACGGGTTAAATGACAATGCAACGTTGCCACATTGAATTGTCTGTCAAAAAAACAAATATATATTAGCAGATGTCAAAAAAACATAATATTATTAATAATATTATTATAATATTATTAATATTAACACAAAAAAATAAATATATTGTTCTTAAAAAATAAATAAATTTTAAGTAAAAAATAAATATATTAAGTAAATTTAAAAATATATTAAAAAATATATATATATTCAAACAAAAATAAATATATATTAGCAACATAATTATGGCACAAACGGCGCCTCATACTTCTCCCTCAAATTATAAATTTGTTTTATTTCAGTTATATGCATTGTACACTTTAGTTAAATATTCTGCAAGAAAATTCCACTGCTCGCTATTAGTTTAAACAATATGAATTTATTCCCGAGCGCGAGCGCTCTCGGTATAGCGCGCTGCCGCGCGCCGTAGACTCGGCATCCGCTCCAATCAGTATTAAATAATAAACTGTCGTTGACAATAGAAAACCGTGTTATTTAACAAATTTAATTTTTTTAATGTAATAATTATAACAAATATATATTATATCTACTGTTTTTATTGTTTTTTTAAATTATCTTTATTTCTTTTTTATATATAAACAATAATAACAAATTAAGTTTACAAGCCATTCACAATTTTCAACAATTTTTTTACAATGAAAATTTTGGAGAGTTTTAATTAAAAAATAGATGACAGAAAATCCGCTCCAATCAGTATTAATAAATAATAAACTGTCGTTGTTGACAATAGAAAACCATGTTATTTAACAAATTTAATTTTTTTAATGTAATAATTATAACAAATAGATATTATATCTACTGTTTTTATTGTTTTTTTAAATTATCTTTATTTCTTTTTTATATATAAACAATAATAACAAATTAAGTTTACAAGCCATTCAAAATTTTCAACAATTTTTTTACAATGTAAATTTTGGAGAGTTTTAATTAAAAAATAAATGACAGAAAAACCGTTGGAGATATTTTTAATTAACTTTTAAAAAAACAAATGAAAATTTTAATGGCTTTTTCCTCAAATTATAAATTTGTTTTTTTCAGTTACATGCATTGTACACTTAAGTTAAATATTCTGCAAGAAAATTTCACTGCCCGCTATTAGTTTAAACAATATGAATTAATTTATCCCCGAGCGCGATCGCTGTCGGTTCAGCGCGCTGCCGCGGCATGCCGCGCGCCGTAGACACGACCACCGCTCCAATTAGTATTTAAAGAAAATAAACTGTCTTTTACAATAAGAAACAATGTTAAAAAAAAATAATTTTTTTAATGTAATTTATAACAAATAGATATAATATTTGTATATATTTATATATAAAGACTATAATCATTAACAAATAATTAAATGAAACATAAATTTTCCCTCAGCATGTTACTTTTTTATATTTTTTCTTAAAAATTTTAAATTATGAATTATTTTTCAATCCTAAAAATTTCATTAAAATATCTCCAACGGTTTTTCTGTCATCTATTTTTTAATTAAAACTCTCCAAAATTTTCATTGTAAAAAAATTGTTGAAAATTTTGAATGGCTTGTAAACTTAATTTGTTATTATTGTTTATATATAAAAAATAAATAAAGATAATTTAAAAAACAATAAAAACAGTAGATATAATATCTATTTGTTATAATTATTACATTAAAAAAATTAAATTTGCTAAATAACATGGTTTTCTATTGTCAACGACAGTTTATTATTTATTAATACTAATTGGAGCGGATGCCGAGCCTACGGCGCGCGGCAGCGCGCTATACCGAGAGCGCTCGCGCTCGGGAATAAATTCATATTGTTTAAACTAATAGCGAGCAGTGGAATTTTCTTGCAGAATATTTAACTAGTGTACAATGCATATAACTGAAATAAAACAAATTTATAATTTGAGGGAGAAGTCATTAAAATTTTTATTTGTTTATTTAAAAGTTAATTAAAAATATGATAATAAATAAATAATTTAAAATTTTTAATTGTTTTTCAAAATGTGAATATTAAACAATAAATCCTGAAAATTTTATTAAAATATCTCTAACGGTTTTTCTGTTATCTATTTTTTAATTAAAAGTCTCCAAAATTTTCATTGTAAAAAAAATTGGTGTTAAAATGAAAATTTCAAAAAACTGTTTTAGGGTTTTATTATTGATGGTGACTACTTTATATTAAAATATATTTATTTGAATTCCACGATCAAGAGGTAAATGGGGGGTCCACTTGACGTGATCTTACTCAACGCGTTTCTGTTACGCTATCGTTCTTTATATAAGGAACGAAACGAAACTGTATCAAAACATGCGCCACAAAAAATGATGACTATGAGAAACGATACTCATTAGTACCAAAACGAGTAACAAAATCTTGGTAAAGGTTTCAGCGGTAACAAGATTGCTATCAAAACTGTTCATAACGAAAATTGCAGTAGCGCAACTACTACAGAAACACAGGATATTGAAAAAAAACTAGTAACAGTAACATAGTAACGAAACTGTAAAAAAAACGTTAAATTTTCAAACGTTTTCACAAATTTCTTAACAACACAATGTCTTGGGGTATTTCCATTGCAACGGGTGCGACACTAAAACTGCGTTTTTTCATGATAATAAAGTGTTTATATATCAAGATACGTTAATATAAAAAAATAGTATAAAAAATTAGGTATTTAACTCAGACAAAATGTCAATAAAAACTTGTATAGAAAACCTTTTATAACGTCATGAATAGCGTAACGGGCGCGACCTTAGAAAATCGACAAATACGACCAAGTTGGATGAAAGCATATAGTAATAATTTTTTGTGTAAAACTTGAATAGCACGTATTTTAAATGCACAAATCTGTGGGTAAAAGGCATAAGGGGATAAGTCAAAAAAAGCAATTTTTCAATAGAGCCTTTAACGTGTTCGCATTAATTTAGGAAATATATTTATGTTTAGCGGGTATACGCTTTTGTTAGCATATGACATGTGCTAACAAAAGGGTATACACGCTAACCATAAATATATTTCCTGAATTAATGCGAATACGTTTAAGGCTGTACTGAAAAATTGATCATTTTGACTTATCCCCTTATGCCTTTTGCCCACAGAAATGTTGTATACTTTGTTTTCTAAAATTTTCTCAAAATGTAACGGGTGCGACATTTGAACATTTTATCGAGTATTGAAACTCTTCCGTGTTTATTCTTAATGTTAGCTTCTTAGCATCACAATGTACGAATATTTTAAGTTTATAAATTACGTCGTATTTGACTTCAGATATAGTTGTTATTTAACACATCTGATTTTTTGTAAAGGTGGGGTAAGGTTTCGTGAAAATACCCCTTGGATCTGTCTAGCAGCTTTCAAGTATATTGACGTAAAAAAACGTATTACATTTAATTTTCTTCAAGTTTATCATGAGTTCACAACAGGGTGGGCCAATGAAATGTTTCCACCCCAGTTTTCTCAGGTGTTACGTAAAAAAGAACGCCCGCACACTATTTTTAATTTTAGGGGGACAATTTATTTTTATATTTTCAATCCCACATCAACCCCTAAGCGACCCACTACACCTACAATTAAAGGGAAGAGAGTTTGAGTGATAACTAATTTTTAAGGCCATTCAAATCCCTACATTTTGGTGTTGTACTTTTAATTTTAATTTATTTTCATCTTAAATATAAATTTCGACATACGCGGTTCTTTTCAGTGAAATTTTAACTATTTCAATTGGACACATTTTTTAAATTTCATTAAATACCTACTGATAAAAAATTTGCACTTAAACTTTAAAAATTGTCGAATTTTTGCCAAGAAAGCGATTTTATTTTGTTAAAAATATTTTTTTTAAGGGAATTACTTTATGTATATTTATAATTGTTTTTTAGTTAAATTAGAAATCATAGCCACTGATCTTGGTTGAAGCATTTAATTAAAAAATATATATACAGGGTGTCCCAGAACTCGCGCCACAGAGAAAAAGGGAACGTACCGAAAGTAATTTGAAACACATATTTAAAAATTCAAATTGTCCAACGCAAAGGATAAGGGAGATAAGAATAAAAAACGATAGCCAATCCCAATAGATCACCACAGGGAATTCTTTAAATTGCTAGGATACTTAGGTTGCATTGTTGATAATAAAAAATATGTAAAATATTTGGTCCACTGGAATCCAATTCATTGTAACACTGCTGTCAATCTTTACTCCTGTCATTAATATTATATTAGGTTATAAATTAAGTAATTATTGACAATGCCGTCAATCTTTACTTTTTTCATTAATATTGTATTAGGTAATAAATTAAGTTATTATATATAATGTTTTCCTTGATGATTATACCGAAATTATAACTATTTATGGTGAGCGTGGGCGCAAAAAAAGCTAAATAAAGTACAACTGGTTTGATTTTTTACTTTAAAACATTGGCGTTCTGAAGTATCAGTCATAGATTAATAACCTCATTTTTTGAAAGCTTTTGACAACTTAGTAAATACAGTTGGCCAAAAGATTTTTAAATGTTTTTAAGACAACAATGTTCTATCGTCTCCTAGCAATTTTTAAAGCTCCTACGTTTAACCTAGGCGAGATCTCTCGGTATTGGCTGCCGCTTTTTTGCTCTCATTCGATTACACTATTACCTAGAATTTTTTTATTTTTAAATTTGGCATCTCCATTGCTATCGGCACGCCCCCTTTTTCTCTGTGGCGCGAGTTCTGGGACACCCTGTATATACGAATTTGTTCGCGTATCGAAAAAAACGTTTTTTATATTATCTCGAAAACAAAGGAACAGCACACCCAAATTACTCTAGAAAAGTTGTTGACTCCCCTGTGAAAACAAAAATATTCATTTTGTCGACCAGTGTCAATATTCTTTACAATAATTATATTACTAAAATTTTATGGATTTTTTAAGGATTTACTACTTAACCTATGAATAAAAATTAAGACAAAAAATTTGTTACAAAAGGAAAAGTTTTGAGCCCAGAAAAGAATTAGGTACCTGTACTCTATAATGCGAGAATTGCACACGCCCTTATTGAATTTAAGTAACGCAATGATGCATTCAACAAGAATGTTTCTTTTGTAATGCCTTGTAACATTTATAATATAAAATTACAAAACGCCTTGAATAAAACCATAAAAATAAAAATTTTATATTCTACAAATATTCCAGAGTACTCAATACAATAGCACAATGGGGTAGTTAAATTTTTTCTGACCTATACTTTTTATGGTTTTATTCAAGGCGTTTTGTAATTTTAAACATTTCTGTGAAATCAGAATTTCAATTGAGTTTACCGTTTTCGAAATATTTACAAAAAATATAAATTTGTATGTTAAACCTCGCCATGTGACCAACATTCTAAGATTTCTATTGGTTGAAAATTACCCTGTTGTCAAGTTGTCTTGTTAATGATTTCATTCGGTTATGTCAGAAAATACCTGAAGAGTAGACTGGTTGGTAATTCAATTTTTTTTTCTGATTTTAAACCGCCGGGCAAAAAAAGTTTTTTTGTAACCTAAAACTTTTCTATTTAAATTTTGGTGACGATCGGATAATATTTAATAGCCGCGCCCAGGTGAGGAAATTTAAATATACAAAATATTCAGAAAATTGTTTTTATTTGGATTGTTTATGAGTGAATGCATGCACAAAACTTAAATTAATCAAAGAAATAAATATTCTGTTAAATGGTTAATAGAACAACATTCACAAAAAGCTATTAATGTCCAAATTCGGTTAGAATTTAAAAAAGGTTCTTGAATATTTTACATTAAATTACTAAGTGCGGTTTTGTTACAGGAAGGAAACTTTTTGCGATATGCTTCAACAAACTGATGACAAATTGCTTCTGTTCTTCATTTTGAGTCAAATTATTAGCAATGCAACTACATACTAATTTATACATAAAAAATAAGTTTACTACGCCATAATTAAATTTGTTTTAAAAATATTATTTTTATTAATATTTTCCGTATTTTCATATTTACCTGCCTGGGCGCGGCCACTAAATATTATCTTATAACTACAAAATTTTAAATGAGACATATTTAGGCCAAAACAAAACTTTTTTCGCCCGGCGGTTGAAAAAAATTTTTTTACGACCAGTCTACTGAAGAGGTTATGTACAAATACTGTCACTGTCAGTCAGCGTTGCCAGATGATCAAAATGAAATTACCGTACCTGCTTGGTAAAAATTACCGTATTTATGAAAAAATTACCGTACATTTGAAAAATTAAAATAAAATATTTAAAATATAAAAGCAACAAAATTAAAAAATATATTTTAATGAAAACTTAAAATAAATAAAAGTTAATTTAAATAAAAAACATTTAACAAAACAACTCAAAAATGCAGCCCATAATTTCCTCCAAGAATTTCATTCTAATCCTAGATATATGAGCTGGACTTTTGGAATATGTACTTATAAAAAAATCATAAATAACAAAAATAAAAGGCAAATGAAACTTAAAATTAATAATAATATTATTATTATTCGATTAAAAACTCATCATTATTCTCTTATGCAGCTAAACCCGAGATGGCGCTATATTAATTATATTACTGTGTGGAAGTATGTGTTTAAATGTGTAGAAAAACCATAGACAAAAGAAGGAAAGGACCATAGAGGTTTTTCTATAGACAATAAACAAATAGAACAAAAACACCAAAAATACCATGTGTGGAAGTATGTGTTTAAATGTGTAGAAAAACCATAGACAAAAGAAGGAAAGGACCATAGAGGTTTTTCTATAGACAATAAACAAATAGAACAAAAACACCAAAAATAAAAAATATTGTTAATATTATGTATGAAAATATGTCAGTTAGTAAATTTACCGTACATTTGTGTACGGTATTGAGGTTTGTACCGTATACCGTATTTTCATTCAAATTACCGTACAAATACGGTAATTACCGTACGAATGGCAACGCTGCTGTCAGTTGAGTGAAAGAAGAAGAAGAGGAGGTTAAAGAAAATTCTGAAATTAAAAGTTTTATTGATAGGTTTACACATTGAAACACCGTGTGAAACCTAATAAAATGTAATAAATAGGTACCTAATAACTGTCTAAAGCAGAGTTTAATATATTTCATAGAAAAAAGTAGCAAAATAAAGCTGAAAATGAATTAAATAAATTTACAAAAAATAACAGTAAATGTAAGTTAACAATGGTATTTATGATATTTGTGTATAGTTTTTATAAAACTTGCATCCCTGATGATATCATCATGCTCATATGAGCATCAAAACCTTTTGTAAGATTAAAAAAAACTTTTGGACTGTTCGAAGATACTATGCTCAAGAGTACATTTTTGTACTTTTCGACAATTCTGGTTTAAATATTGCTGCAATAACGTACATAGTAGGTAAAGATAGTGCAGGGTCTACAAATAGACATTTTGATTAAAATTATTCAAACAGATGGTCACCAAATTCATTAAGTACCTACATATCTTCCTTATTATGAGGTATCATATTACTGTTTGATATTTTATAGTCCAAGATATATCTAAAAGAATATAAAGAACTAGGCATTATACTACGACAAAATATGATTATAATTATAGGTACTTACTTTATTTGTTTAAAAGCTCCAATGTTCAATGTAACCAACCATTCCACAAGATTCCTCTGCTTTGGAGTCCGTTATCAATAATATCAATTACAAATAACATAACAATAACATTGATTTTCAATAATCTAAATTTAAAAAAAACATAACCCGAAAAAAAGAAACGTCAAAAATTCAATTCTGCTTCTTCTTAATTAAAATTATAGATCAAGTGGTTTTAAAACTAAAATATTATAACGTGGCGCCATCTATCGTAAGAATCTTAAACTAAACACACTGGCAACCATAGAAAAAGCTGGCAACATTGTCAATAGCCTAGTGACGTAATTAGGAGATTTTTTTTTGTAAATATCTCGAAAACGGTAAAGTCAATTGAAATTCCGATTTCACAGAAATGTTTAAAATTACAAAACGCCTTGAATAAAACCATAAAAAGTATAGGTCAGAAAAAATTTAACTACCCCATTGTATTGGGTCAGTAAAGTTGACTCAGAAGTGGGGGCAATTCCTTGTTTGCTGAGACATGAAGAACTATTATCTTTAAACAATTTTTTTTAGGTAAAGGACGTTATGGAGGCATCGTAGTGGATTCGGATAGCAAAATCCTGGCGAGCAGGACCGAACAAAAAGGCAAGGCGTACGTTCAGCTGCTGTCGTTGACCGACAACAACCTGAACAACGCCATCGACTCGAACGAGAACAAGCTGAAAAGGGCAAGCGGCGTTGCCGTCACCAACGACAATCACGTCATCGTTGTAGATCTGGGCAATAATTGCGTCAAGAAGTATCTGTATTGGTAATCGGTTTCTCTATATGCACCACTTCTATAATAATAATTATTATTATATGAGTATTTGATCTCTGTTCCAGAGAATTACAAGCAATCCACTGTTAACACTACGATACATATAATGTTACATATTTACAACATTGTAGAATTGTGCAGCAGCTTTAATTCTCGTTTTTATGCCTTAATAAATGAGAAAAATGTTATTTCTGCATTCATTTTTCATGCACCTCATATATATATTTATTATTTATTTACAATAAGCGAATTGATTACAATTTTTAAAGCCGTGGATGTATTTGAGAAACTATTTTAGGGGCATTTTATAACAATGTTTTTTTTTATTTTATTTTGTACAAATTGATATATATTTAATTTTAACGGTTATTTAATACATCCATGCACCTTAAATGGCATTGAAGTAAACTTATGCGATTTTTTCCACGCTTCCTGCCATATATTTTAATAAATTTCCTTTTTGTTAAGTACTTAATTTTTATGTCTAAAACATAATTTTGTAGCATATTTTTTTGTACAAAGGATATACTTTTCTAGTCATTAGTCTGTATTTTTATACGTGTACAATTTTGTACATAATAAAACGTTAAAATTACTTTGCAGTTTAATTCCAATACTTTACAACACAATTTGCCAAATGATTATTAGGTAAGTAAGTAATTTAAAAAATAAACGCAATCAAGGTGCTTTTACTATTTGATAGTGCTTATGTGTAAAGTAAGAAAATCACTGTAACAACCAAAAACTTTTTAAAGGGTCAAAAAGCAGGTAGCAAAAACCTGCCACACTTTTTAGCTGCGCTTTTGGACTTGTTTGCACAAAGCAAAGGGACTTTCTATCAAGTCATAAGAGCGACCCAAAGGAGCTCACAGTTGAAGCACTTTTAACTTTAGTCTTCAAGAAACAAATGTTGTCATAATTTAGTTTAAAAGGTAGATAAATAATTAATTTTATTCTTACTTACATCAGTCTGTTTATTTAGATATGTTGAAAATAGACAAAAATATAATACCACATTAAAACAATTTACAAATCCCTAAAAAATTAGGATCACCTTCTGCATATTTCGAAAAATGTACAAGTGTTTATTTAACATTCAAATATTAAAAATAAAAATCAAAAAATAACAGATAAAGTAAATTCTTTCAGTAATCTAAAACCTCCATACTTTTAAACATCACAGCTTTCAAAACAGTCCATTCCACATTTTACAATTATTTTGTAAACAATCTACTTTTTTAGATAATACATAAATGGGTAAGATTAAGGCTTAGGTCAAACAAATTTTGTTTAAAAAAGTTGTCAGCTACATTCCTACAGATGGGTTTTAAACGGCACATCAAAAGAGTAGTAGTACAAATTTACAGGAATTTTTCATTTTTGGTGTATACAGCTGATGCGTCATAGCAGCATTCGGTTTTAATAGTGGGGGAATAATTCGCTTTAACAACAAATATTCAGTTGCCCAGTCACTGACGTTGGGTGATTAATTGTTAATTTACTTTAAAAAATGATTCAGACACTTAAAATTTAACCTAGTAGTGTAAATTTAGTAATATGTTTATGTAACTAAACGGAGTTTTCTTATAAAAACATTTAAACATAAAACAATTCTCAAGAAGTCAAACTAAAAAGTACAAAATACAACCGTTTTTCTTAAACTTTTGGATATCTGCTGCAACTGATGCAAAATATCCCCTCACTACTTCATTGCTGATGCACTTGGCACTGTATACTTTAAGCGTAAAAATACGGTGTTTGTATGTTAATATAACATACTTTGAGACATAAAAGTTATAGATTTGTGTTAACCCAAATTTGTACCAACTCGTTAATATCTACTTTAGGTTTCTAAGGTTTACAGCAATGTACAGATGACTAAAATTGGACAAGTAAACACTTTTAATGAAACATTTACAAGGAACATTTATTTGATCATTTCAGTCTTTTTAAATAAACGCCCAGTGATCCGATTTTTCATCGCCCAAATCTTACCGGCAAACCTCTTTAGGAGCCTTTCGTGTTTCGAACTGGACAGTTTGTACAAAATTAATGTGTAATTAATGAATCAGATTATTTTTTTTAAACAAGCACTACATTAATTACAAATTAATTTTGTACAAACTGTCCCGTTAAAACCACGAAATGCTCCTTTATGGAATGTACTTAGGTATTTTTTTATTTTAAATCTAAGTTTGTTGCATTAATATAATTTTCAAAATTATTTAATTACATTTATTATTAATTAATGAGCTGTTGTCTAGGTAATTGTTCAGGTTGTTTTATATCAAATTTGAAAATTTCCATTAATTCTATTTATAGTAGTACCTATAATATATTTTGATTTTGCTTAGATTGGTTTTTGCAAACCAAAAACTGAGTAGCAAAACTATTAACAATTTATAAAAAATACAGCTTCTCAATTCTCATTTAAAAAACTAGTTCGTTTCTAAGTTAGCATATTTCTTATAATTATGGACTGTAGAGTTCAGAGGTAGAAAAAAGCATCTACCACAAATTTTATTCACTTCATAAACGTATGTTTCAATGAACTTAAGTATGATTATGTCAGTTTTACTAAATTTAATTTAAAAAAAACAACTGTTTAAAGGGAAACATAGATGTCGCTTGTGATCAAGTATCCTTCTATATATACTTCTATGGGTATTTTTTTTATTAGAAGGGCTACAAGGTTTTATAAGCCTATAAAACTAAATTTAAAAATTAAAAAAAAATCCAGCTGTTCTCAAAAAAACTAAAAACGTTTCAAAAGCAAACATTTTTAATTCATCACTAATGTTTTTATAATGGCCGCGTTGGATTTCTTGATTTTTTTTCTAACCATGTAAAATTTAAATGAGGCGGCCGAGATGGTAGTGTTGACTAGGCGAAAAATATCAAAAATTTGATAAAATTGTAGATAAATTTATGTTTTATACAAACATGTGAAATTTTTTTTCAAAAATTTCAGGAATAACGAAGTAATAACGATTTTTGATTTTGACAGGTTTTCAGTTTTTTCAAATTATTTGAGAAGAGCTGATTATTGTAATATGCAACATTTCTCTAATTTAACTGACCTTGAAGCTCATCGTTGGATTCCTTAATAGAAGAATACTTTGTGCACATAATCAGGGCCGGATTTACGAATTTGCCGCCCATGGGCCCAACGCATCATTACCCCGAATAACGAATGACTCAGCGAATAAGCTAGAGTCGCGCCCCACTCGCCTCGTGTACATCGACTGCCGCCCTTCTACGCAGTGACGCACTACGCAGAATAATAGTGTAGTCTGATATAAAATTATCTAATGTATTAAAAAACTTCTCTTCCAACTTTTTATAGTTTTAATTAGTGTATAAATCTGTGTGAAAACAAAAATTCTGCATAAAACGCTCTTGATTTTTTAGCAAAATTTTAACTGGCCTTCAAAATTTGCCGCCGCTAAAATTTTGCCGCCCTGGGCCCGGGCCCATGTGGCCCATGCCTAAATCCGGCCCTGCACATAATATAACCTCGAATATAACCCGGTTATCGGAAGTATTTTTTATAATAGAACCCCTTTTTTGGTGCCACACTGTATTATTTCGAAATGGACGATGCGGGAAATTGTAATTTTTCACAAAGAAAAATTTCATATTTAAAATAAACAGAGCAATATCGGTTGTGAAAAGAACCATCTCTGTTTCAAGCTGATAACTTTTTGAACGAAATGAAGATTTATTTAAAATAATTTGATATAATCATACTGGCATTGCAGTATAAAACAACCTGATAATACTGCGCATGTCCAAAACACAAAATTAATATCACAATAATTGGTTTTCTTTTTTATTAATTAAGCGGGATATAATCACAAATTTCTTTGGTAGCAAATTTCGCCTAAGCTCGTTTTTCATAATCACAATTTTGTTAACCAATTATTTTAAGCTCTACATATGTACCTCGAAATAATTTATTTTATCGAAAAGCATAAGAATTTTCCAGACTTATCACAGACTTTAAATTCATCAATTGATTCGCTTACCCATTTCTTATATTGTCTATATTATCTATCCATGCAGTTCGCTAAATTATTGTGACATAATTTTTATTTAAGAAGTGAGCATTTTGGACATGCAAAGTTAAGCAAAAATCCAAAAATTCTTTGGAAATCCTACTACATAATAATAGTTATGTATAAGGAACGACGATTTCTTAATTTAGTAATGTAATACGCTAATAAAAAATAATCTGCTTGGCAGCATAATTTCATCTTTATAACTAAAACATCACGAATAAAAAAATATTTAATACAGTATCCATCACTTGAAAAAATCGTCGTTCTAAGAAAGCTAAAAGCAATGTAAGATGGCATTTATTAAAAAAATATATTTATTTAAAACTAACTTGTTTGGCATCAATGAAATGTTATATTTAAACTTAATAAACATTATAAAGGCAATCAAATAATTTTCTAGTTCTTAAATAAAATTAAGATACAATCTTATGGGGCGCCGTTTTATTTTTTATTCAGGAATTATTTTATGTTATGTTAACCCTAGAGTGATATTTTTAATTAGATAAAAAATATCGGACTCACGTACGACGTAGATCACAGTGGTTGTGCCGCCACCTAGCGACTTAATTCGTTTGGAATACCAGGGGTATCAAAACTTTTAACCTGAATTAAAAATATCACATTCAATAAAAAAATATCTGCTTATGTTAAAAAAATTCAAATTAAAATGAATTAAATATATCTCCTATGATATTTTTAATGCAATTAAAAATTTCTCCTACGATATTTTTAATTTAGCGAATTAAAAATATGTGTTTAATTAAAAAATACAAATATAAGAAACAGATATTTTAAATTCACTACATTAAAAATATCACTTTGGCATATATAAATTTTTAAATATCCACTATGATATTTTTAATTCGCAAAATAGAACTTCTAACATGATACTTTTTATCTAAATGAAAATATCACTTTAAAGTTACCACATAAGAATAGTTCCTGAATAAAAATAAAACTGCGCCCCATAGAATATATTATATTTTTGGATGTACAATAGGGTGCTTCATTTTAGAGCGACATTTTTTTTCCAAAGTCCCACCTGAAAATCTTGTAACCGGTCAGAAAACAAAAATTTTGAGCTATTACAAAGCTCTTAATCTTTATTTTAAGCAGTTGCTATTCAATTTTTAAAAATTTCCCTTTAAAAACCATTAAAAACAATGTTTTATTCTTTTCTCCCTCCGCTCGTACAGTAAGAATATTTTTTTCGAATTTCGGTTCTAAAATCTTTATACAGGATGAAATTATCTTCAAAAATGTCTATTTAAGCAAGTCTGTAAGTTGAATATGTTCTTCACAAATTGCTGTTCTACTCGAAAATCTAAAATAGCAGTAAATCGTATTGGGAGACTAAAGTATTGATTGTAGATAAAAAACGTAAATGACAATTGTGTAGGGAATTGTGTGCCCTACAAATTTGTCAAGAAATATTTTGCTGTATCACATATAGTTTAGCTTGTACAGCCATTCTTTCACGTAACTCTAATAGTATAGTTATTACAGTCAGAAACTGAATTTTTAAGAATTTGACACTTTGGGTGGCTGTACAAGCTAAACTATAAGTGATCCAGAAAAATATTCCTTAACAAATTTGTAGGGCACAAAATTCCCGACAAAATTGTCATTTACGTTTTTTATCTACAATAAATAGTTTAGTCTCCAGTTACGATTTACTGCTATTTTCGAGGAGAACGGCAATTTGTGAAGAACCTATTCATAATTTCATCCTATGTAAAGATTTTAGAACCGAAATTCGAAAATATTCTTACTGTACAAGGGGAAGAAGAAAAGAATAACATTGTTTTTTAATGGTTTTTAAAAATTGAATAGCAACGGCTTAAAATAAATATTAAGAGCTTTGTACTAGCTCAAAATTTTTGTTTTCTGACCGGTTACAAGATTTTCAGGTGGGACATTGAAAAAAAATGTCGCTCTAAAATGAAGCACCCTAATGTACAATTAAAAACAAAACTTGTTTATTTTCTGATAACATGTTCAAGTTAACAAGTTTTTTTAATTTAAACCTATTAAGTTTGAAGCCAAAAATGAAGCAATAAACTATCATTAGCCCACTTTTAGTTTATGAAATTGTGAAATGAGTTAAACTTAAAGTAAATAAAAATTTAACACCATCTTATTGCTTTTAGCGTTCAATTTTCAAAGGTACCTACGTACTTGCTTGGTAATAAAAACAGCGGGCCGATCATTGGTCGGGCGCGGGCTGCTGCGCGTGCTCGTGCTCGTGGTGTTCCACGGAGTTCGGCTGCAGCAGCTGGAACGCCGAGCCGAGGCTCGAGCGCAACTTGAACATGGTCAAGGGTTGCTGCGCCACCACCGCAGTCGGTTGTTTCGGCAGCTCGTCGTCCAGCGATTTCAGGCTGACGCGCTCGCAGCCGTCGGGCGGCTCGCGCGCCAGGAATCGGTTGATGTGCGGCGAGGTGCCCAGCTTGCCTATTTCGCGGTCGGGGCTCGACCCAGCGCTGGAGCCTAATTTAAAATAATGTAATTTTTTCTATTTTCATACTATGTAAGCAAGGACCGGATTTTAGGCAAAATGCCATTTTGTTTCTATTTTAGGCATTTGTTTGGGATCTTGAAATTAATCCTAAACATAAAAAAATAAAGCGTTTGACACCCCTTTGTTTTTGCCAAAAAGCTTAAAATGGCGAAATTTTGATTTATTGTCCTAAAAGGACATTTTTATGAGCCTAAAATAGGCTCATATATATAAATATATATATTAGGGTGCTTCAAAACAAATTTTTAATTGTTTTTTATTCGTTCTTACCCCCTAAAATGTTTCTATTTAATATAAAAAAATCCTCCCCAAATATGGGCGTTCCAGCTCAACTCTAAGAGGTCGCTTTTTTTATTTTAGTTTCCCATTTAATTAACAGGGGAAAAAATAATTTTATGTTTGGAATTTTATACCTCTGTATCAAAGTAACTTATGGCAATGATCATTGCAGTTTCTTATATAAAATGTAACGCTCTACAAAAAAGGTCTCTTATAATTTTTCGATAAATTGATTTCGTCCAGAGTTATTCGAGGTCAAAGTTTGATTGAACATCAAATTTTCTGTTTTTTTTTTTTTTAATTTTATGGTACAATTATAGACCAGGGTCGATAATTTTTGAAACCAAAAAAAATAACAGTAGGATGAAACCCATTGGAAAAGGAGAAGAATATAATAAAAATGAAAGGAAAAATAAATTACGGGCGATCTGACTTCGGGAAGTGGGAGGGGGGGGGTTAAGGGTAAAAAATGGTTTATCTCGATTTCCGGCAAAACTACAAGTCCTATGGAAAAAAGTTAAATGGCATAGTTGTAGGTAATAAAAGGATCTACAACTTTTGTAATTACAATTTTTTTACATAACCTCAAAATTTATGTGAAAAATTCAAAAAACCAAGTTTTTGGTTTTTTATTTTTATCTTTTTCAAAAAAAAATTTTTTTCCACGAAATTTGGTGAAAACTTACCTTTTTATGTCCCAAATACAATGTAATTTATTTGATTTGAAATATTTATTATTTCGCCTTATTTTGACTTAATATCAAAAAAGCACCCTAATTTTCAATCGAAAATTCTCGCGTCAAAATATCAGCTTATTTCAAAAAGTCGGTGTGCTTTTTGTTCGTTGAAATCTCTACTTTCTGATGGTGTAAAAAAAATATACATTACTATGGTAAATGTTCTCAGAAAATGCAAAAAATATTATAATGAATAACGAAAAAAACTCGAATTCGAAAATTTATTTTAATCATTATGTACAATTTCATCAAAAAAATGTGATTGTTGCAATTTTTTTTAGTTAAGAAATTTATTTATTAAATTCTAATAACATTTATGTCAGAAAATCTCATAAAATATAAAAATACATGTAAATCATACTATTGAATTTAGATACTTCATTCTTATTACGTTAATCATTATAATATTTTTTGTATTTTCTGAGAACATTTACCATAGTAATGTATATTTTTTTTACCTACACCATCAGAAAGTAGAGAGTTCATCGAACCAAAAGCACACCGACTTTTTGAAAAAAGCTGATATTTTGACGCGAGAATTTTCGACTGAAAATTAGGGTGCTTTTTTGATATTAAGTCAAAATAAGGCGAAATAATAAATATTTCAAATCAAATAAATTACAGTGTATTTGGGACATAAAAAGGTAAGTTTTCACCAAATTTCGTGGAAAAAAATTTTTTTTTGAAAAAGATAAAAATAAAAAACCAAAAACTTAGTTTTTTGAATTTTTCACATAAATTTTGAGGTTATGTGAAAAAATTGTAAATACAAAAGTTGTAGATCTTTTTATTACCTACAACTTTGACATTTAACTTTTTTCCATAGGACTTGTAGTTTTGCCGGAAATCGAGATAAACCATTTTTTACCCTTAAACCCCCCCCTCCCACTTCCCGATCTCAGATCGCCCGTAATTTATTTTTCCTTTAATTTTTATTATATTCCCCTCCTTTTCCAATGGGTTTCATCTTACTGTTATTTTTTTTCTCTTTTTACCATTTTTAAAGGCTTCTTTCTGCACTGGTCTATTAGCCGACGGGAGGTAAAAGGAAAAATGGGGTATCCAAAAAATTTCGTTAAATTTTTTTTTAATTGTTTTTTTCGGTTTCTAAATCATTTGAAAATATATTGACTCACAAGTTCACTCCTTTAACCGAAAATAATTGTTCTGAGCCTGTAGATAGAGAAAATGGAAGGTAAAAATTTTGAAAACTTTTCCATCGAACTTTTTTTCGGATTGTATGCAAACTAGGGTGCTTCAAAAAAAATTTCAATCACCAACATTTGGGAGAGATCCAAATAAATTCCAAATTTTTACCTTCCTTTGTCTCGCTCTACAGGCTCAGAATAATTATTTTCTATTAAAAGCGTGAACTTGTGAGTCAATATATTTTTAAATAATTTAGAAACCGAAAAAAATTTTTTACGTAAATTTTTGGGTACCCCATTTTGCCCCCACCCGCTGCCTAGTTTTGCCCCCTTTCACCTCCCGTCTGCTAATTGTACCATAAAATGAAAAAAACAGATGTTAATCAAACTTTGACGTCGAATAACTCTAGAAGAAATCAATTTATCGAAAAATAATAGGAGACCTTTTTTGTAGAGCTTTACATTTTATATAAGAAACTGCAATGATCATCGCCATAAGTTACTTTGATACAGAGGTATAAAATTCCAAACATAAAATTATTTTTTCCCATGTTAATTAAATGGGAAACTAAAATAAAAACAGCGACCTCTTAGAGTTGAGCTGGAACGCCCATATTTGGTAAGGATTTTTTTATATTAAATAGAAACATCTAAGAGGATAAGAACGAAAAAAAATTTTTTTTTTGAAGCACCATAATATATACAGGGTGTTTTGTAATTAATGTTATATATTAAAATACTGAATACCTTTTGACATGCGGAATAAAGGAAAAATATTTAAAAAAACATTCTTCCAAAGATAAAAAAAAATATGCATTAGAAGTTTTTTATATTTTTTGTGATACGCCACTGGTTACACACTTGTTTATCTCTGCACACCTGTATTTTGTGAGTAAATAGATACCAACCAACAAAGTATCTATGCGTTGCCAGATGTAAAAAATTGTTACTAAAAATTTTTCTTGCAAAAAATAAATAAAAACTCAATAAATACAAAAGTTTTATGCCCTTAAAGCTCTAATACCCTTCTGTATTTATTTACTGATCCAGCTGTATTATAATTGGTGATAAAAACATTGACATTTTAAAGGACAACTGTAAAACAAAAAAATACAAAGAAATCATTGAATTAAACTCATATGAAATAAAAAATTTACATTCAAATAAAAACAAAATAACACGCAGAAATTTAAAAACAAACTATGGTACTTTAATTGATCATGTAATTGCACCTATAAATGTTACCTCCTGTATCAAAACTAAAGATACATCCATATCTGATCACAAAATGCTATGCATCAAACTTACATTACCAGGAGCAGTAAAAATTAATAGTAAATCAAAAAAACAAATATTAATAACAGACTACGAAAAATTTTAAAAAATACTAAATGAAAATCTAAAGTCAAATACAAATATTTTTGATGAACTTATAAACATAATTAAGCAAGCTAAAATGCAAAGTACTAGTGCTAAAGACATAAAAATTTATAAAAAGCCTTGGTTCAATGCAAAAATAAGTAAAAAAATCAAAAAAAGGGACAAGTACTACAGAAAATGGAAAAAAAATCCTCTAAGCAGATACTACAAAAATGAATTCAAAACCTTAAAAATATGGTAAATAAAATGATAAAAAAATCAAAAATATCTTATTACACACAAAAATTTTTGTCAACAGGAAGTAATGTGAAAAAAATATGGAAAACTATAGATGAAATAATTAATATAAAACCTAGAAAAACAAATAATAAGATAGATAGATTAAAATACAAAAATAAAGAATACACTGAGAGTAAAGAAATAGCTAATATCTATAATAAATTCTGTACTGAAGTTGCTAAAGAACTGCAAAAAGATATAATAATAGCTGATATAAAATTTGAAGAAGTTACAAATAATAAAACTATTTTTATGTCCCCTTGTACACTGAGTGAATTAGGAAAAGTTATCGCATCTTTGAACTCTAGTAACTCCTCAGGTGATGATAACATTACTACTAAAGATATTAAAGAGATTTATCCTAACATAAAAGAAACCTTACTCAGATGTATAAATAACTGCTTTAAGACTGGCAATTTTCCTGAAAAATGTAAAATATCTAAGGTTCTTCCTATATACAAAAAAGGTAGTAAAGAAGATCCAGGAAACTACCGTCCAATATCTATTACTTCAATTTTCTCTAAAATTATTGAAAAGTTAATAAAAATAAGATTTATAAACTTCTTTGAAATATCATCTAAACAGTATGGCTTCCAGGAAAACAGCTCCACACAAAGTGCCACTATGGATCTAATAGAACAAATCTTTAAAAAACTAGAAGAAAAACTAAAAGTTATAGTAGTTTTTGTCGATCTGAAAAAAGCGTTTGATACAGTAAAATTAGAGTTACTTTTAAAAAAATTAGAAAAGAATGGTATTCAAGGTCCAGCTATATTGCTTATGAAAACTTACCTCCATGACAGAAAACAGTATACAAGCACTAATAACTGCATCAGTGACCCATTAAAAGTGGAGACAGGCGTACCTCAGGGATCAGTGTTAGGCCCTATACTGTATCTATTATATGTAGAAAGCCTAACAAAAGCTGGTTTACTAGGAGAACACTACATGTTTGCAGACGATACAGCACTTTTGTACTATCATGAGGATATGAAAACAATAGAAAACATCATTAATAAAGACTTAAAAAAGTTTTATAATTGGCTATGTTCAAATGGATTAATAGTGAATGAAATAAAAACTGTATATATGCAGTTTAGCTTAAAGAATAAAAACAACCCAAAAGTGAATCTTAAAATAAACAAT